CAATAAACTTTCCTCCACGCTGTTTACAAACACCCGAGTAAACGATGATCTGAAAGCGAGTGGAGAAAAGCCGAGTCATCAATGCAAACAATAAATATCCCCAAATATACCGTTAATAAAGGTAAACACTTAATGGGAGTAAACAGTATTGAAGGAGTTAACAGGTGTGTTGTTCAGACAGGTAGACAATTACAGGAAGAGTTTAGTTGGATAGTTTGGTTCACCTGAATATTCGCCCTCCATCACCACCACCTCCACCATCTAACCTAAAGGTTATGTAACCAAACCAAATCAAACCTAACCTAACCCTCTAGGTAGCCTCGGGGTGGTTAATCTTCAGGTGAAATAGGCAGTGGTGTAATTTAAATCTTCCCTGCATCAAAGGAGATTGATTGATACGTTTATTGAGATACAAAAAACATTAATACATCTCAAAGGGATGAAGTAACATAAGTCATCCTCACCCCAGTCCAGGAATGTACCTCTCAAGACTCACAGAAATCCCGAATAAATCAAAGGAGACAGAACAAATACGTAACGATACTAAATGATTCCAGAAACTACATGAGTGGGCTGTAAGGGTGTAGTATAATTATGGAAAGGGTGGAATATAAGTGTAGATAACAACAGAAAGGAAACGCCGAAAACAAACGCTAAACAGGATAAACGTTTACAACTCAAACACGTACGATTTGATGACGAGAATTTCCTGGTGGCCTTGAGATTGCTGATAAATATGACTGGATACATTAAATAATATAGACACGTTTAGGTGGTGGATAGTGGTTCAAACACACACACACACACACACACACACACACACTGAATAATAATATCTAAGAAATGAAGTGGATTAATTCTATGGATAATTAAATAAAAAATTCAACTCAAATATCAAATTGCGATTCAAAAGTCATAATAATAAACATATAATACAATCACCATTAACGTCAGAAAAAAAATATACCAGTTAAGAGGCAAGATGAGAAAAAACCAATTTAAAACTTTACATTGTACGCAAACCAAGTCTGTGTGAGTGCTTGAGGCTTTCCGTATATGCATATTAAACTGGTTCTTTCCTAGAGTGATAATTTCTCTACCATATTAGTTGAGTTATTATTTTTTCCCTCGCCTGAAGAAGAAGAGGAAGAAAGTATATTAGTTTTCCTGTGCTGGGTGAGAGTAGTAGTAGTAGTAGGGGGGGAGGGCAAGAACGAATTTCAACGACATTTTTCATATTTTTCTTATTTTTTTTTTACCTACAACGTCATACCAATAGTATACTGGCCTGCAAAGAACTTGAAACTAACAGTAAATACGGTAAAAGATAACTTATATAAATTCCAAAATCCAAACACGAATACAGTGACCACAAACTTGTCGTAGCGAAGAAATATGTAGCAGGCAACACCATCACCACCATCCTGCCTCGTCACACAAGTATACATTAACAAGCTGACCATGTACACAAGTTTATGTAACCATTTCGTAGCCACTGCATATATTTTCTTCAGAGAGAGAGAGAGAGAGAGATTGACAAGCCTAGTGGTGTACAATATAGGTTAGGTTCTACCATAGCGGCACGTATATATAACTAACCGGACTGGTCTCTCAAGGTCAGTTCACCACTTAAACGGGTGCAAGAAAGTAGTGTTGCCTTCCGCCTTCACCACCATACCTCAGCTCATAGCCAAATCAGTTTTTCATCGGAATCTTATGTTTCTACCGGGAGGAAGCCGAAAGAAAACGTGTATAAATATATTAGATACAGTTTTCTAAAGGTTTTAACCATTAATCTACATTTCTGTGGTTGAATCGTCTCCAAATGAATGCATGATGGATTGAAATTGAAGCTTGCCTAACAGTTGAGGTGAGTGTTGTTGGAGGAAATGTTTTTTACGCTTGTTGATTTATCACACGTGTTGATCTAAGATTTCTTTGTTAGTCTGATGTTCTCGGAATATTAAAACAGCGGGAGAAAGGAACAGAGGGAGGGAGAGCGTGAGGAGGAAGCAGGAATCTTACTTCACTTCATTAACCGAGTGCGTGGAGCGTGATGCAGTAAATATCACGTAATGTATACACTAACTCTTTAAAACTACGTCAGCAGTCAAACTCGCTCACAGAAATGAACCCTTGGTGTACAATAATATTAGATGCAACATTTACCAGGAAAACCATCACTTCCCCTCTCCTGCACCATCCTGTTATCTCCGACACTCCCCCTCTCCTGCACCATCCTGTTATCTCCAACACTCCCCCTCACACACCATCCTGCCATCTCCAAAACATCCCCCTTCCTCCACCACCTTGGCATCTCCACCACTCACTCACCTCATCCACTCTATATGTCCATTCCCTAACTCTCTCCTCACCCATAACTTCTCCCCCACCCCCTACTTCTCCAACCCTCCCCCAATACCCCCCCCCTACGTCCCCACGACCCAGTTACATACAGACAGTAGGTATAGCCAGCACTTAATGAATGCCTTAAGGTCCTACCACTAATGCCACTACCACTACTACCACCAACAACATTAACACCACCACTGAAATAAAAACAGCCACTGTACCTTCATTAAATACTCAAGAACTCCAATTTAATAAACTTTAATACAATTGCACATTGGTAGATTTAATAATAAGAAATTTAGCTGTAATAAATAACACAGGATGCAATTCTTGTTGCAAGATAAATGTGAAGTAAGCGAAAGGTGTATATATATATATATAACATGTCAAAAACTAAAATGAAAAGGTTTAAGTTTTTGCTGAATCACCTGGTCTCTATTGTTATTATATTTTAACTTAATATCTTAAAAAAATGTGCCATAGATATCGCCCAGACAGCCAAGCAAGGACGTTAACGGCCAACGTGACGACTAACACTACCAAACCTACCTCCCTCTCTCTCTCCCTTGACCTTTTTTTTTTTGTAGGGAAAGGAGGAATGAAGGAAGATTAGAGGTGGGGGAAGGAAGTTATAGTTCGGAAATTGAAGAAATTCAGGAGGAGGTAAGAGAGGGCGGGCTGACCGCCTAGCTAAGCTAATAGTGTGTTAGGGTTGTGTCATGGGTTAGTTATTGTCTGCCGGTACAGGCACTAGACAGCCTACCCTGTCCCATCTATGGGTGTTTTAAGGGCCTTATTTCATATTCCGCCGACCCTACTGGCGGATGCTGGTCTAGGGAGGTTGTCTATTGCCTGGCCGTGTAGATCGGGGGTGGTAATGGACCTTTTGAGATTTCGTAGCTTTTTGGGAACCATGTATGGTTGTTGTCGTTATCTGGTGGGAGTCTTTGAAGGAGTTCTTGCTCTGATCGTTCTATCTTTTGCCAGATTCTGCTGGCCAGGGTGTGCAGCTGCTGGTTGATGGGTTTCATTCTCAGGTCTCTATGTATCTCAGCTGTGGTTCTGGTGAAGGGGTATCTTTCACCTGTGACGAATCTTAGGGCTTCATTTTGGACCACCTGTAATTTTAATATTTGAGTGGTGCTCATAGTATGAAGAGGTATTGCTGGGTAAGTTAATATCGGTGTGATAAATGATGTCACCAGGCGGAGTTTAATTTTCTCAGGAAGCGCTTTAAAGCGGTATAGTTTGAACTTCTCGCAGCACGGAATGGGTGAGCAGGGAGGAGGGGGGCGATGCGCAATTAGGTTCGGCTGCGCTAGCTTGGTTAGCCTATTTGGGTTAGAGTTGTTTATTTTTGGGTTAGGTTCAGCTATATGGATTAACTAATACTAGGTTAATTGGATTAAATTAGGTAAGGCTATGCGAATGAATTAATACTTGTTTATTTGCGTTTGATTAGGTTAGGCTGTTTGGTAGAATTTTGTTATTTGGGTTAGGTTAGGTTAGGTTAGGCTATTTGCAATAACATATTACGTTAGGCTGAGTTAGGTTAATTGCAATAACTTACTAGGTTATAAAACTATGGGTTCGCAGTCGTATCGGATATTCGAAAACACGGAAATTCCAATGAGAATTGAATTGGTTCCGCTGATGAAGCTACAATGTGTCCAGGACTAACACCATCAGACACACACACACACAGTCAAGAGGCAAACTTAGAACACACCCAGAGGCAATATCCACCTACCTTACCAACCCTTATTAATATTCTTAAAATTGTGTGATAAAGAGAAGAAAAAGCAGTTTGATAAAAGATACAAGAACAAACGCATTAATTTAATATTTTTACAAATTATTAAGTCTGTTCTTTTAAGTCAAATTGTGAGATTACGAAGCCGGAAAAAAAAATTCTTGATAACATGGACTTTCTCGAGGTCTGGTGTGGGCAGGTGGTATTGGCGGTGTAGGTGGAGTAGGTGAGGGTAGTGGTGTAGGTGGAGTAGGTGGAGTAGGTGAGGGTAGTGGTGTAGGTGGAGTAGGTGAGGGTAGTGGAGTAGGTGAGGGTAGTGGTGTAGGTGGAGTAGGTGAGGGTGGTGTAGGTGGAGTAGGTGAGGGTAGTGGTGTAGGTGGAGTAGGTGAGGGGTGGTGGGTGTGGGTGGGTGGGTGGTGGGTGTGGGTGGAGAGGTGGGGGTGTGGTGTGGGTGGAGTGGGTGGGGTGGTGGTGTGGGTGGGTGGGTGGGGGGTGGTGTGGGTGGAGTAGGTGAGGGTAGTGGTGTAGGTGGAGTAGGTGAGGGTAGTGGTGTAGGTGAGGGTAGTGGAGTAGGTGAGGGTAGTGGTGTAGGTGGAGTAGGTGGTGGTGGTGTAGGTGGAGTAGGTGAGGCCAGGTGGTAGTGATGGTGTAGGTGAGGGCAGGCGGTGGTGCAGGTTAATGGTAGATAGTGATGCATTTATGAGATGAAAAATGAAGCAGGTGAAGCAGCTAAGGGCCTAATGATCAGTAATTGAAACAGGTGGTGGTGGTGGTGGTGTGAAGGGCAGATACAAGGATATGTGGTGTGCAACCTTCCTCAGACTCATTAGTTATCCATAAGAAGCATCACGGCCAGCTGCCACCCACAACAATTTGACCTCTTTCTCCCGGCCAGCACGCACCAAGGCGGTCATACACTGGCTCACGACGTCCCAGTCTGTGAAGTGCTGTGTAGGCGGTGAGATGGTGCAAGGCGCTCTACTTTACTCATCACTCACTGGGAATTACCTCGGCTGTGGTGAGTTAGTTGTTTGATTTAATATTGTGTGTTAGCCTGGCCTACACTCCAGCTAGGCCTATTAAGAGGAAAACAAACATACGAAGTTGGGCTCCTTGCTTACTGTTATAATGCGTGTGTCTTATCAATAACGAACGCTATTCCTCACGTCTTCTGTATTCCTCTCGATCTTCCTCTCCCCGAATTATACAGCCTGGGTGTAACTATATTTTATTGGTCTTGAAGGAAGATGATTCAATTTACTTTATCATGACGAGAAATACTGAGAGTTGATGGTGAGATAAGTGACGCAAGGGGCCATAAAAACTGGTAGGGAATTACTACACACTCATAGTAAGGCTTACTGAATCGCCTGAAGGTTAGCCCCAGCTTATTTCACCTTAAGATCATCCTATCCTAACCTACATAAATAACAACGTAACATAATTTATCCCAATTAACGTTTAGGGTGTTTTATTATCAGGTGAAATAAACTGAGGACACACACACACACACACACACACACACACACACACACACACACACACACACACACACACACACACACACACACACACACACACTATTTTCCACCAGTCATAACAAACAAAAAACATTCAAATGAACCCAATGAGGAAAGTTTCACACTGGTTTTTTCTGTGTTCCAATTAAACTCCCCTAACAGGTTTTTGGTCAGGTTTGGTAGGTTAGGTTAAGTTAATCTCAAGAGCAGAATTCGCTGAAACTGGAGAAATTTTGGTTTTACAAAGGAGCTCACCATACCTTGCCCGCTCCTCACAGCTCTTGCTAACTGAGTCCGTCCAGCAGCCCAGATTACTAGCCTCGTACGTGCGGATATGGTTGGCTTGAGCTGATTGAGATGGTCAGTAGATGGATATGACGTGCGCGTGTGTGGTTAGGATTAAACGAGACATGCTTTATGGTGGTGGTAGTGGGAGGCGTCGCTTGCTATATCGTGAGAGTTTGTAAGTGTGGCTGCTCACTTTTCCCTCCCATGAAGAGGCTATTCATATACCGGGTATTTATTTGTGATTTTCTTTTTTCTGTTATCCTTTCTGCTTCAAAATGTTCAAGACATCTTTACCGGATATTTGGCTATCTTTCAAGGAATATCAGTGTTATGAAAGGTTAAGATAACTAGAGATTGGAGATTGGTTAAAGGTATTTCAGTGGTGGTTGGTGGAAGGTTAATGAGACAATAGCCGTGAGCCTGTGACTGGTTCAGGTGTGACAGATTGACATATAACTTACTTGCTTGCCTGTTAATCGCGTGACTACCCAAGCGTATAATAATAAAACGAATAAATCCTGGATAAATAGTTGTTCATGTCGTTTCAAAAAAATCACCCAATAACGGTAAATCACGCTCACTTACCGTTGTCACGCTCACTTACCGTTGTCACGCTCACTTACGTTATCTCCGTATTTTTGTCATAGTTATCACTTTTGCACTCCACATCCCTGTTTATCAAGCTTTGTGGTGTCATCTGTTAGTGTGGCAATACAGTATTATAGTATGATGACATTATTAGTGTGAAAGCTCTCTTATAACTCATTAATCTACCACAGAACAACATACTAAAACACACACACACACACACACTCGGGCTGGCTCACTATACCCCAGAACTCTGACTCACATTAATCACTTAAGTTAATACAAACTCATTTAGTGTATAACCAATAAAATGAATAGTGTGAATAATAGTTATATAATATACTTGTGAGAATTATAGGTATAGGGAACTATAAAAATTATATAATCTTTTAATAATTACACTGTGGATACGAGTTCAACTGTATTTTTGTATTTCAGGGGAAGGTTATGCCACCGAATTGCTAGCAGATGACAAGTTACCCACCCAGCGCAGGATGAGGGTGAGGTGTGTGGCGTGGGCAGCTGTTGGCGTCATGGTGACATTGGTGGTGGTGGGCGTGGCTTCTCTAGTACTGATAGGCACGGCCCGTCACCTACTCTCAGTAATTAACCTTTCCAAACCAGGTAAGTCGCTGTGCCTTTATGAGAGAGCGTTTACTAGGTGTGTTGAGAGGGAAAGCATTTGGTGGCGTGTGTGTAGACAGAAAACTCTCACCAGCGTTCGTTTTGTCTCGACTTTTGTGAATCTGTTGGTCCAAGTTATGTTCATTCTTTTTTTTTTTATTAGTTTTTTATTGTTTATATTTCCAAAAAAATCTCATTTCCTATACTTGATTTCCTATTGATCGTCTCCTGTTACACTAGTACATGCCCAGTTCTTGTCAAGTGTGTAACAGAGAACACCGACCGTTCTATCGGCTAATAAGCTAACAAGTGGCGAAGAGGATAAGGAAGGATGGAGAAATTAATGAAGGAGAATAGAAGGAAGGAAAGAAGGAAAGGACATCATCTTCACTTCGGGTAAATCACTCAACTCTGGATGCCACTTGATGGTATACTTTATTTGGGTGCTTATTGCAGAAAATACGATGAGTTCCAGACACACCACACCACACCGCCTCCAGCACTGCACACTTAACCAGTTCAACTAAAAAATCTAGATAGACCATCTCATATAACCAGTCAATATTACCATTATTTTTTTTTCCACTTTTTGGGGGGGGGGGGCCGAGTTGATTTCTAAATGGTTTTGTGCAAAGTGAACACGACCCCTCAATATTTCCAAATACTTTTTTTATGAATATCTATTTTATCTCTCTCATCTGAAAAGAATTATACACCTTGTTAAGAGTATAATTTGGTAGCATATTATAGCTTCTACATGTATTATTGTTTTATGAAATTATCTTATACCAATACCTAGAGGATTAGGGGGCATGTACCTAGCTCTTATCGGTTCCCTGTAATGAAGTATTAGCGTCGTGTTGTGTTGTGTTGTGTTGTGTTGTGTTAGAAGCTTTGGGTGTATCGAGAGAGATGGTAAACACTGAACGGGCATTGTGAGTTGTTAGTTCAAAGTAGGTGCGGCAACCCATGGAGTGGACAGATCAATTAGAGTACATACATACATACATACATACATACATACATACATACATACATACATACATACATACAAAGTAAAGTCGTCTTAATTTCATATTAATTCACCTTGTAAACACACACTACAGGTATACAATTTGCAGACAGTGACCACCTTCCTCGACACACACACACCCAGAGGAAGGAATGTGACAGATACCGAACACGTCAGATATGTTTCTTGTGCTATTTAAGATGGATCACCTGAAGATTAGACCACCCAGCTTATTTCACCTACTTATTAAACAGAAAAATACTAATCCTAACCTAACCTAAACTGGGGTGTCTGATCTTTAGGTGATTCTTTCAGATACCTTAACTGTTATGAGACGCCAAGTACTGTAATTCTAACAGTAAAGGGTCAGGTATCGTAGCATCATAGAAGGGCCAGGAATCGTAGCATTATTATACCACGGAAGGGCCAGCTATCGTAGCATCATTATACCAGGAAAGGGCCAGGTATCGTAGCATCATAGAAAAGCCGGGTATCGTAGCATCATTATACCACGGAAGGGCCAGCTATCGTAGCATCATTGTACCACGGAAGGGCCAGTATCGCAGCATCATTGTACCATGGAAGGGCCTGGTATCGTAGCATAATTGTACCATGGAAGGCCAGCTATCGTAGCATCATTGTACCACGGAAGGGCCAGGTATCGCGCATCATTGTACCATGGAAGGGCCTGGTATCGTAGCATAATTGTACCATGGAAGGGCCAGGATCAGCATCCATGGAAGGGCCAGCTATCGTAGCATCATTATACCACGGAAGGGCCAGCTATCGTAGCATCATTATACCAGAAAGGGCCAGGTATCGTAGCATCATTGTACCACGGAAGGGCCAGGTATCGCAGCATCATTGTACCATGGAAGGCCAGGTATCGTAGCATCATAGAAAAGCCGGGTATCGTAGCATCATTATACCACGGAAGGGCCAGCTATCGTAGCATCATTATACCAGGAAAGGGCCAGTATCGTAGCATCATTGTACCACGGAAGGGCCAGGTATCGCAGCATCATTGTACCATGGAAGGGCCTGGTATCGTAGCATAATTGTACCATGGAAGGGCCAGGTATCGTAGCATAATTGTACCATGGAAGGGCCAGGTATCGCAGCATCATTGTACCATGGAAGGGCCTGGTATCGACATGGAAGGTTCGTAGCATAATTGTACCATGGGAAGGGCCAGGTATCGTAGCATAATTGTACCATGGAAGGTCCAGGTATCGTAGCATAATTGTACCATGGAAGGGCCAGGTATCGTAGCATAATTGTACCATGGAAGGGCCAGGTATCGTAGCATAATTGTACCACGGAAGGGCCAGGTATCGCAGCATCATTGTACCATGGAAGGGCCAGGTATCGTAGCATCATGTAAGGGCCAGGTATCGTAACATTGCATCAAACATAGGGTTCATTACAGTGAGAAACAATGACTTGAGCTCAGGTATTATAGGTTGGCTGGGCATGACGTGGTGGGTGGGTGTGGTGTGTGTGTGGGTGGGTGTGGTGTGTGTGTGGGTGGGTGTGGTGTGTGTGTGTGTGGGTGTGTGGTGTGTGTGTGGGTGGAGTGTGGTGTGTGTGTGTGTGTGTGGGTGTGGTGTGTGTGTGTGTGGGTGTGGTATGTGTGTGGGTGGGTGTGGTGTGTGTGTGGGTGGGTGTGGTGTGTGTGTGGGTGGGTGTGGTGTGTGTGTGCCCACTGCCTGACTTCAATTTCCCCGCTCCAGGGTATAAGCAGTCCTACTTGTTTAAGCCGTTGCGTTACCGCCTATACATATTTCGTCTTCTGCTGGGTGTTAATATCGTTCTGTTTGTTGCTGGGTACTGTCTGCTTACCGCCGTCTTGTTTTCTGCTTTTTTCTCTTTTATTTTTTTATTTATCTTTTTTTTTAGATAATGATAGTGAGGATATACTCATAATATTCGTCATCGTAAACTGGGAAACAACTTCAATTAATGTTTTCTCTCTTTATCCACATTAACTCAACAATCATGAGAATATTTCCAAGATAATTTGTTCCTGGTCTCATTATCTCTCTTTAAAATAATATTAAGTGCCATTAACATTAACACATTGACCTAATTTAAGCTCTATTTTCCTCTGAAGTTTGGTAATAATTAGGTTTGCTTCATGTGGTTTGGAGAGGAATCAAAATAGGTGTTACAACATTTGCTTGATTTATGTACCTGATTCACTCTTTATCTATACGTATATTGGAAATTTTATATATGTATACTGTATCTGCACGATCTATATGGCGTGTATGTCTATGTTGTCTGTACACTGTATATGGTGAACTGTATAATGTATACCGTCACTGCTAGCCAACTTGACACGCAGTGATGAACAGTTCGCTCCCACAATTGTTATGGATGACACAAGAAGTAAAGCTATAATAATGTTTAAAGTATATTGTAAAACTTCCACTCAGGTGATGTAATAAAGTTAAGGCTTTCTTTAACAACCATTGTCTATTATACAAATGTGTCGGATATAGTACATGGAGCATCCTTAGTCTGCTGTAGGTCTTAGTACATGGAGCATACTTAGTCTGCTGTAGTTCTTCCATAATGTATGTTTCTTTACAGTAGAGGTGAAGGTCGGAGTGTTGATGTCCGGGTCAGAGCTGGATGAGGACTTGAGGAAGGCAACAGTGCTGGCCGTCAGAGATCATGTGGCCGCCATAAGCATCACAATGGATGTACAGGTGCGCGAAGCCTTCACGTGGGGAACTACCCTAGGTGCCCTCCAGGCCTTCAAGACTCTGTGGAGTGAAGGAGTGAGAGTCTTCCTGGTGGGTGGTGATGGAGTGCAAGTAGAGGCACTGTGTCACTATATGGAGTACTCGGGCAGGAAGGCTCTGCTAGTGTCCCCCACGTCCCTCATCTCTAGTGATGACTGCCCCTTCCTGGCATCATTGTCACCTTCCCACGGTGCTCTGATCACGGCAGAGGTGGCCAAATTGGCGGGAACCGGCCTCACCCACCTCATCCCAGTCATCACTAGCAGGGAAGAGAAGCAGATGACACACGTGATGACGGCCGGGAAGACTTACGGCATCACTGTAGCGCAACCAGTTCACCTGCACGCCAGGAACCTCTCCACGGCACACCTGGGAGATACCTTGGCCGCTTTGCCGGAGGCAGGTGTCTGGGTGTCAGTGGGCGGTCACTTGCCAGAAATTATGACTTCTGTCGGTCACATTCTTCGTGGCCGTCTTGTCATGTTACATACCCATCCTGTTCATCGTGCCAAACTCCTCAGTGACCCAGTTGCCCGTAGAATTGCTGAGGCCTGTGCAGTGTGCACTGTTGCCTGGGCGGGATCATCTCAGATGGATGCAATCACTCGCCGTCAACTGCTGCTTGCACTAGACCCTCAAAACCCCTTAGTCGCCACCCTTGCTTATGATGCTGCCAGCCTTGCTCTACTGGCAGTCACCAACAGCACTGTTTCAGATGTCCCAGAGATGCGGCGAAACTTTGTTGATCATGCAACCCACAGAGGAGTCATCAAGCCAGCAGATATGGTAGATGGTAAAGTATCAGGCTGGGCTGTGCGGATGAGACTAGTTGCAAAACATTTAGTAGGTCAGGTTGTACTACAGGAAACACCATGGCTGCTTGAGGGCCTGACACGAGTGGAAGGAGGTGAGAAGCATCCCCCATGGGTGGTAGTGAGAGAAAGTCACTCACCTACCCGTCTAGTGACCCAGGAAGAGCTTCAGGAACTGGCAGCTCATACACATTGTGACATGAGTACCTGGATCGAAGTGACAGCACATGACCCCTTGACGCACCGGCCAGTCACCACAACCTGGCGCTCCACAGCACCACCTCACGTCCTCCTTATACCTAATGGGTCTCCAGGTGGTTTCAGTGTGCGAACTTGGTGCCAGAGTCGTCAGGGTGCCCCACATTTGGAGATTGGATGCCAAGGTGCTACAACACATAATGACTCACTACGATGTGTGACGGTCACAACCCCTGGAGGCCCAACTAGCCGCCGCATCATACGAAGCCTCATCACCAAACACAGGTTTCCAATACAGCGCCGAAGGAGGTATGGACCTCTCAGAAGGGCTATGAAAAGTATTGATAAAATTTTGGCCTATGAAGGCTTTAAGGCGTTAATCCCTCAGATTGGTGGGTGTCTCGGGTCCTCTGGAGGCTGTGCGTTTTGCTTCGTGTACATTTTACTGAGTGATGTCACAGTAAGTCCTGGAGTATGTTACGGTGCTTGTGGTGTGGCTGTGGGTGGCTCTTGTGGCACACTGTTCGCCAAGGGAATACAGAATAAGCTGGACCACACTGTTATTTGTACAGAGCTCTTCACCCAAGGACGCCTTTCTCTATCATCATACTTGGCCGATGCATCGTTTGGGGTCCACCTGGCCACCAGCAATGGCCAGGCACTACGTGGGTACCAAGTGATGGCCACTCCCCTGGTAGCTGTGATGCAAGTGTCACCCATTGTGAGTGACATAGTGGAGGCGATGGCTCGACCTTGGATACAGCATATGGAATACCAAGAAGGTCTACAAGCTAATGATGACGTCTTGGGTCACCTCATCACCACAGTGGGTCTGCCATTCTGCTCCTTGGTGGCTGTTGTGGTAGATCACATCGACACCATTGTTTTGTTAACTACGATGGCTGTTCTCTGCCATCAGGCCAGGACATGATGACTGTACCACTAACACTTAGCTTCAGTGGCTCAGTCAGAATTTCAAAGCAACACTTAAGAATACTGTAATCACCAAAGGAATCATTATCTGAAGTGCTTGCTCACACACCATACAGCACGTGATTTCAACATAATATTCAGAACGCGTTAACCCAACAAGGACTTTTCGTGGTGTTTTGGTTCCTGTGCCCACCAAAAGCTCCTATTGAGATGTAAAGTCTCATATGCTCAACCTACTCAGGGATATTTGTGATAAGTATGTCGACCCGGCATCCAAGTAGTGTTACATTACATTATATAAGTAGTGTTAAGTTAATTATAGCTGACAACACCCCCACCTGGCAAGTCATGTCGTATGTACTTCTGCTGGTTCTTCTGTGCTGCCACTTTACCTGAGCAGTACTCACTTATACACAACAATCCTGTGATAGTGTTGAAGGACTATAGTGAACCAAGGTGGCTGTGTTGATAAGGCAGCAACACACCAAGCAATATTTCTTAAAGTATGCAAGACCTATTATGAAATTTCTTGCGGGTTATAGTTACTTGTGCTGGAGTATAGATAACTGTACAGTATTTAATCACCCAGGTCTTTGTTGATACTCTGAGCTACAGCTAAGCTGCAGCTAGCTTTAAGGAGTTGGACTAAACTGATAATACAAACACAGAAAATGGTTTGACTGTCAGTATGTTTTGCAAAATGAGTTTAATCAAATCAGTTGCTACTAATACGCCAAACACTCATATTAATGTTTGGTCGTGTTGTTCGACATTAACTGTGTGTAGCGAGGGTTGATTCTTTCCTCGGGGATCCTGTAAGAGTGTGGAGTGGCGGCAGACCATTGTGTACTTTCTGTTTGTTATCCCAGATGTCTAATTTAAATACAGTAGCAGGTTTATGAGATGACATTGCAGGAAGTTACAGGATAAAGTCTACCTAAGGAAACACTCATTCATTTGTTTAGAACTTTTCACCACTGTACTTTGAGATACTCTGTTGTATATCTTTTGTTTAGTTGTCTCTGAAAGAAACATTTATCCTCAAGGAATAAGTTATTTATTCAGCATAGTAATTTATTTGTAGCAGACTGCTTTAATTTATTGATTATGTTAATGGACATTATTTTTTACCCTTTAGTTTAATATATACAATGTTGATAGCTGTTGTTATGTAGTTCCCATTATATTGTTACTTTGAAAATATTTATACTTTGTTAATAAATTATGTTATGTAGTGCTTGCTTAATTATTATGTATTATAAATTTATCCTTTAAAACGTTAATGTTTTTAAATACTGTATAGAAAATACTTATTCATATGTACTAAACGACTGTTCTGTCAGATGGTGAAATGAATTGAGTGGTATTGTGGCTACAGTCTTTGGATCAAAAATAGTTCTTTTATAAACCCAGTGAAGAGGTCTTTCAAGGTGTTTGGTATAAGAAAAGAGTTTACAAATAACTTACAAGATCGTCAACTACCGTACTGTAATATTGTATCAAGACTCAACGAAATATTTATCACTTATAGTTGATGACGGTAATCTGTGGCCTATATTTCTTATCTGTTTATTATGCTGTACATAACTACAGTAATATCTTTATAGACTAAGTCGTGGATAGTTTCTGACAGTCATCCAGTGTGCCTGCCTCTGCTCTAGTCACCAGCCTCTCCAGTTTTAACCACAAACAACAGCGAGGAAATCCAACTTTGGATCAAAAGTGTGCCTCAGGCCTTTGGCAGATTACATACCTGTGTGTTCAGTTGTAGTGAGTTGAGACTATCGACAAAGCTGCGTATCTGTCAAACATTGGCCCTCCCCACCCTGCTGTATGGTAGTGAGACATGGGTCACACACAGGCAACACCTCCAGGTTGCTGAGAGTTATCATCAACTCTCTTTTATTCATTGAATTTCCTGGGAAGACAGCACAAATGCCAATATCCTCGCCATCATCAACTATTGGACCATTGAAGCTGACTTTGTCTGTTATCAACTATGCTGGATAAGTCATGTTACCCCCATGGACAAGAGTAGACTACCAAAGCAACTCTTCAGCAGCTGTTTAAAAAATGGCAAATACAGTTATGATGGACAACAGTAAGGATACACCTAAGACAAACCAAATAAAATACTGAATAGACATTTTGCATGTGGGAGATCATCAACCCTACCATGGTGGACAAGCGCAGCATCAGGATTATTGCCGCCCCTCCCACACTAGATGTACCCTCTGTTGGACTGAAAAATAATGCCAATCCTATTTTGGCCTCTTAAGCCACTTTTAGAGTTCACCACTGAAGGTGATGTCATTAAAAGAATTCCCTTTGTTACCAAGTTCTCTTAACGTTTTTTATCAGTACTGTATTTATATAAAAAGTTCCCCATTTGAGTCATTGGGGTTTTTCAAACAGATCTATCCAACATAAAATTCATTCTACAATTCCGAGCCAACTCCGTGAGTGCAAGGAAACCTCGCTATTTGCTTTAGTTTCCATATCCTGTTGACACCTCTGGAGGTATGGTTAAACTTTTTGTTTTTGTTATGGATGTTTGTTGTCACTATAGTTGCGACTACTACAGCTCTTTACTCTAGACATATCTTTGTTGTTGATTGCACAGTGAATGGCATTTCCTTGACTTATAACATGTTGATATATACAGTAGAATGTCTTATTCCTTGTCGTTTTTCTTTAGTGTGAGAATTTTTTTATTTTAAGATGTACTGTACTGTACTTGGCCTCTTCTGTGACACTTGCTCATTTGCTGTAATCAGAAAAATTTGTATCTTGAACTCTGATTCAGGTCTGCTTAATAAGGTTTTTTCCTTGGATTTAATGAATGTTTGCAATGCATTCATTTACCACACTAAAGAAAAACCATTCTTAATAATTCCTTCATTTTTGTTTACCATAACGAAAGGAAAATACATTATAGCTATTGCCATATAAAAAAACATAAACACAACAGATAATGGCAGGAACACCAAAAATGTAATGTGCTGTACTAATTCCTTGAGCTTCATTTATTTTTATTAGATTTCACATACATTCTCTGTGGTTTTCTTGAACACGAGACTTTATATAATCGTAGCTGGTCTCTCAAAATAACCAGAGTGTAGAGATTGTCTCCGTTTGTGTGATAGACGTGTTCCGAGGTGCCCCAGTTGATAGGAGAATCTGGATGTCCATAAACAGTCATACTCAACCAGGGTACGGCTGACTCACTTCTCTGCTTCAGCCACAGTCTGTTGATAACACCATAATGTATTACTGCTTCCCATTAACAAATAACATCACATAGGTAAAAAAAAATCTAATGCCAGTTGCTTCTTGTTCACTGACGTTGTAAGACTGCTGTGGAATCTATGGTGATATTAATCCAAATAACATCATTATGGGAAAAATAGCAAGAAGTATACATGCCAAGTAGCGAGAGCATACAGATGAGATTACCAACTATTGTACTGTACTATGGTAGATATGGGACTCTCACCTGAGTTGAGAGAGTAAGGAGCTTAGTTGCCTCGGGGTGAAGAAACCGGTACACTGTAAGCTACACACATTATTAACGAGAGTACTTGGCTTTGGAGTGACCACCTCGCACACTGTTGTACCTTCAGTCTTCCTGAATGAAAAGAAAGAAGAGGAAATTAGTAGATCCGTACACACACACCATAACACCTTAACTACTATACAGTGTATTCTCTACAGGCCTGGTGACACATCTCATCCATGATTACATAATATCTTTCCGTAGAAACAGTTAATTTGTGCTTTGAAATCTCTTTATGGCTCAAGGTGGTTCAAAATAATGTTAGTTTTACTTAAAGTTTTATTCTGGTGACCTGGATGACTCGCTAGTCAAATAAAACACTGAGTCGGGGTTCATAATCCTGATTCTTCCAAGAGAGTACGTAACTAATTGTAACAACAGCTCTGTCTGCATCGACGACTGAGTCCTACAGCTAAAAAATATTAAGTATCTAACAAAGGTGAACTCTGTCAGGATGTTTATTGTCATTACTGGTACCTCTCACCACTTGCTCACTTCACCCCCTTGACTCGAGTATGAGATTTCGTTCACTCCACCGTTCTCCACTCACAGGTGTACTCCTAGCGTCTGACATCCAATCCATTCGAAAACATCTTCAGGGTCCGTGTCTTCTCCATCTTTGCCAAGTACGGGCATGTCAACCTCCGTCACGATGCTCTGGCTCAGGGACGACTTCCGTTCCTCAACGCTGTAGCCAAGGTCGTGGAAATACTTGGCTATAGATGAAGGACAAACGCCTGTGTCTGAAATACAATTATTTTTAAAGTTGCTCGGCATAATAAACAACCTCGAGAATATAGAATTCCCGAGAAATAAAATCATTAACATAAGGAAATGAGGAATTGTCATCAGTCTGTGCGTACCGTTACATGTTGAAGTATTGGTTGGGGTTTTTATATGTGGTTTCTGAGTCCTTCATCAAGTCCCTCAAGAGACAACCTTTCACCATTGGACAACTGTGGTGTTCTTGGAACAACACTGAATCTTTTCCTCCACGAGTGTTTCAGATCAGGTTACGAGTACTTTATTCTTTTACTTAAGTAGTTTTTGAAGAAAAATTTATACTTTTCCCAAAGTTTTTTCTCTGTACCAAGACTTGAACTTAGGTGACATTTTTTTAATACTTTTCCCAAGACTTTATGTATGTTTGTAATCATGATTACAGTAATTTCCATATTACGAAATCATTACAAGAAGCTCCTCAGGTCACTAGTTAAATACCTGTAATGTTGCATTACTTCTATCTACATACAGTAACAATGAGAACGATAATGAAACACCATACAGCTTCAGGTTTTTAAAATACTAACCATCTGGAATCCATGTCAACCAAAAGGTGAATGTGAGGTGAACTTGAGTGAAGGCTGATGTGACCGTGGTGTAGTGTGGACGTCCGGGCTTGAAACTCGGCTCCTTCATATTCACTTTAACAACTGTCGAGGCAAAATATACGTTAATGAAAACAAAACAATTACAGTGAAACCTCTATATATTGGACTTCTCTCTCCGTATAATCCGTGATATGGGGGTTTCACATCTATCAGACCCTCGATATAACGGAGTTTCCTCTCCATATATTGTATGTACTGTAGTCCGTTAAAATAGAGGTTTCATTGTAGTACTGTATCCAATAATCCTTTGTTAACTGCAGGGGTTACATTCCATAATTACCCCACAGTAAACAACAACAAAGGAGGAGGTGGGAGTTACATGTGATCCAGGGACTGTACTAACATGAGACACACACAGACAGAAGTACAAAAGAAAGGTGGGTAGAGCATGTCAAAGAGCTGTACAGTATAATGATCATGACAGTGGAAGTAAGAAACAAAATGTAAATAAAGAAGAAGCTATTGAGTTTGGAGGAAGACTTTGAGGAAGCTGTGAGCAAAAAAAAGAGAGAAAACTATGGCTTGTGGCATTGCTCAAATTCCACCATAATTTCTTGATCACTTGTGTACTGGGTTCCCCTTTCTGCTGAATAAAATCCTCTAGCGTTGGCCAAATACAATATCAAAATTGAAAGGATTAAATGAAGGGCCAGTAATGAGATTAAATCTGACTAAACTGTGTAATTCTGTTTACTTCAAAGGAGACCGTCCCAGTGATTCAAACAATATTCTCTTATACACTGATACAGGGTTGTTTTTTTTACTCAAGAACCATAAATGATCACCTGTACTGTACTGTACTATATTTCAGGATGTGCAATAAACAGGAACCTAAAAAATCAGTCGGAATAAAGTCGATCATATCATTACACTACTGCTATGACGCCCATTACAGCTAAAATGCTTCACGTTGAAGGAATCATCAGTCTTACCAAATCTTTCTAAGGGTTTGCGGAGAATGTGGGCAGACAGAGTACCACTGAGAGACAGTTCTTGGTAGGTGAACTTGTTGAGTATAAGATGAAGCTGTCCATCCGGTGTTAAGGCTGCGGTGTTATCCACATCTAACAGACTTTTACAACTGACTGCATATAACTGACCTGAGAATATATATTATAAATCAGCATTAACATATAGGATCACAAAAAAAAAAAATGAATCACCTACTAAAATGGACTGCTTATTTACTAATTACATTCTGGATAAGAAATTATATTAAGGTGATTGATTCTGAAATCTAAAAGAGACCAAATAAATCAGCATTGACAAATCTCTACTTCCTTGCCAAAGACTGAAGGTATTGGAAGGTGGATGATTTAAACTACTAAAGGGATTATGAGAGAGGAAAAACACTTTGTGGCAGGGAGTTTCACACAGTGTTTGGGGGTATAAGTAAGTTTTGATAGGTAGAGGATCTGAAGAAGGTATTTCAACACAAAAGTAGGAATGGATCTTCCCAGATGCCCTCGGGGGGGATCAATTAAAGGCGCAGGGTGGTGGGACTATTGAATGAACCATATCCGAGTGCTATAATTATAAATATCTTTAGAATAGAGAAAGCAAATGATGAGATGTCCCTATGAATGTACACTGCTAAAAGATTTCTGCTAGAGACATTATTGGCGACTGTTTTGATAGCCTTTTTCTGCACTTAATTGAGGAGCCAAGTTTCCAATCTAACCAATACAAGAGTTGACGGTAGGTGATGCAAACTGCGACACTACTGCCCACTAAAGAGGTGCCTTATTAACTATGGTTCAAGAAGCTTTTTTTATTGCACAGGTTCAGTAAGTATTTAGAAAGGTTCACTCCAGCAGTTAATTTAATCCTCTAGAAGTCAGTAACACCAGTGAGATAAAAAGAGGCTAAATATATCTTACCTGTCTTAAGAAATGCTTGAAGGAAAACAGGAGAACAGAACTCCAACACTGGTAGGTTCTTGATGAGGTAGAACTCTGTGTTGGTGGTCAGAGAGTCATGCAGGAACTCTGGTAAACTGGGAGTGTCTGGGAGAAGTAGTGACACCTTAAAGAAGAAAAAAAGGTAAAAGAAAATAACAATAGCCAATAAAACTGCTAAATTGATAATAAAATCATGGTTTCTCTGTAACTTTTCTCCTCTCCCACTTTTGTTTGCAGTAGAGTTGGTCAAGGAGTTTGGCAATACTAAAGTAGTAGGAAAATAAGAGAAATTGTGATGCAGGACAAGTTTATTAAAAGATTAGAAAGTTTTAAGACATCAAGGAAAAATATTTGCATATAATGTTCATCAGAATCTTATTTCATGAAGCCGCTGGTCCCCTGTATATACTGTACTGTACTGCTGTATTAGATGTACAGTTGCCAACAAAAGTCACTTGGCCTCTTCCACTACTCCATGAACCCCGAGATTCAAACTTATGAATCCGAAGCATTTATGGACAGAATAATGCATGTGACTACTGCTTTGGATTAACGAGTTTGAATCTTGGGGTTCGTGGAGCAGCAGAGGAGGCGACATGACTTTTTTCACAACAGTACATGCATACCTAAAAGTTGATAATTCCCTCACTTTAGTATTGAACGGATGATGATCAATGACCCGTTGCCACGAGTGATCGTTGTGAGAGTCGTGCCAGGAGTGTTGACTGTAGGACACAAAGTTCTCTGGTGCCGGGAACTTCACTACTTCAGGGTTCAGCATCTTTAGCCTTGTGTTGACTGCACTCTCTATCACTCTCCTGTAATAATGCTGCACAGTAAAACAAAACACAAGTGATTAAGTCCACAATATCAACCATGATCTAACCACATAAGGCTCTTTTCATATACAGTATTAACACAAAGAAAACAATATATAATACCAGATTACCTCATAAGTATTCAAAGTATTTCCTTAAGTAGTCCAAATCCACCCTAATTAACGTATTATCGTCTTTATTTGATTTATTCCTGGGAAATCATTCAGAAACCAATAAATTACAAGCTTTTATTTTTTTTTTTTAGCAGAGATGTCAATCAGTAGATTTTTCCACAATATGACCACCATAATTTCAATGTGTAATCATTGTTAATTTGTTTTCTCTATTTAATATAGTTAATCATATATATAATAGAAAATAAATAGAGTGCCATCTATTCAGTTCTATATAAGCTGCTTTTAATCAAACAACAGATGATAAACTGTGACAAAACAATGCAAAAAACAAAAGTAAGTTGCAATTCCTCCACTTTTATTGGATACTCTAAATTAAAATACTTGTAATCAGATTTCTTCTATTAAAAAGTTCCATAAAGTTCTCACAAGACGGTGTTTCAGAATACAGTATTAACTCCATCAATAACCTTACAGTACTTAGCTATATCAGTAATGGTTGCCCCTCGTGTAACGAGGAAGGCCGGTGTCATGCGACAAATCTTCCGGTGCGATAAACCTTCTGGGCTCAGCAATTACTGATGTTCATTATCGACACCTGAGATGTATGATTGATTTGTGAGAGCTGAAAATATTAATAAATACGGTAATGGAAGGTTTTGAATGAATTTCCCATTATATCTTGGGCAAACTGACTACAGTATAAGGATGATGTGAAACATACTCACTACAAAAGACAATGAAAGCACAAAGTGGGCAGTGCTTTGAAGTCGAAGGAAATTGTGGGGTAAAAACACAAAAAATTAACCAATCAAACCCAAGGAATCCTGACCTAACCTAACATTACTAAATCTTACCCAAAACTAAGCATTTACCCCGGAAGGTTTGTCGCACGACACCGGCCCAAGGGCCTCCTCGGCTTGAATTTATTTAAGGTGTAGAAACTCGCCAACACAACAATCACACCCCTAGTTAATGAGCTGTATAACCCAGTGTCAAGGAATAGTCCGAGTAGACTGGACAACTCGTCAACTGCACTGGCTAACCATTACCCTGGAATACAATTCACAAATTGATCAACATCTAGGTCCCTAATTACTGCTGGGTAGACAGAGGCAAATGGCGTAAATAAACTTGTCCATAGTTTCACCCTGACTGGGGATCGTATCCGAGGCAGCTCCCTTGTGAGGCGAGGATGCTAACCTTACTTCACTACAACAATAACCTTACTTAACTACATCAACAACCTTAACCACATCAATAACCTTAACCACATCAATAACCTTAACTACATCAATAACCTTAACCACATCGATAACCTAACTACATCAATAACCTTGCCTAACTACATCAATAACCTTAACTACATCAATTACCTAACTACATCAATAATCTTTCTTTTCAGCCTAAAATTAACTCACTAAAATTTATCTACACACTTACACTTTACTCTTCAATAATAACTTAATATTTCTTCCATCACACAGACTAACCAGTGTGTGTTTGTTTACATCTAAGGTGTTCATGAGTGAGTAATCCGGATTCAAATTTGTCTTTCTAAACTGTTACGCGAACGATGATGATGCTGATTATTATTATTATTATTATTATTATTATTATTATTATTATTATTATTATTATTATTATTATTATTATTATTATTATTATTATTATTATTATTATTATTATTATTATTATCTAAACTTCTAAATCATCTTTCACAAATATGACTGAGATAGATAGTTTATTCATTAAAGTCGCTAAATAACATATATGGCATTTATTCAGTGATATTTTCCTATCAAATTCACAGTGATGAGGAAGTTATATGATGAAACCATGAATATATTTAAGGCAGTGATATATGCAGATAATTTAGTCATTAATTTAGTTTTAGTATTTGAGAAAATTTAATGGAACAACAATCATAATAACTTGCCTCTGTTACCCCTCGTCAGTATTGCCAGCTGATATTTTTCATCACCAAATTCGTGCAAATCGAAAAAATACCTTTATTAATGAGTGAAAAGTCTTTGGTATTGACACTAGAAATATGACAGTTAATATAGTTAATATATTATCATAAGGGGTGAACTGAGAGGAGGACAATAATGATTTCGTTGCCCCGTATGAACGAATTATTACTAATTCAGTTTAAATAATATTACCTACACTCCAATTATATAAAAGTAAGCTATAAAAATAATTGATATTTTATTTAACATGAAACAAATGTATTTCCTATCTATTAACAAAATAATAGACAAAGAAACACGATAAAGGACAAAAGTAAGAGATGATAATGAATGTTGAGGAATCTGGTATCACTGCTTGACCATCCTCTTCAAAGCCAGGTGAAGGAGTCGACCAGGCTGTCATATTATCTTCTCTCCTCTCTGGTATTAATTAAGGTAGATTTTTATATTTATTATTAATCTGTGAGTGTCATAAAAGAGTCAGAAACATGTGTATAGAATGAATTAGTTTTTGGTTGATTTATAAATTAGTTATTGGACTAACAATAGTTTTGGTTTAAGAATAACGGTTGGCTTTATGTTATTATAAATTGTTTTTTCTGGATAAACTGGTAAATAGATTGGTAAGTAGATTAATAGAAGACATTACCGTAAAAAATACCAACTTTGAACCTGTAAGATAATATTTGGTGGTCACAAAACACATTGCACACACTTCACTCTTCTTACCTGGTTGGTAGTTTGGTGACAGGTAAGGGGCCAAGATGCTTTAATTTAACAGTATGTAGATTATTATGTTTATTCATGATGGTGTACTGGGAATTCAGAACACAATCAATAGAACTATTATAGGGGTGGGGGGCTAAATTCAAATCGAGTGACTTCCTATAAAAATAAATGTTGGATTTGAACCAAACACTTTAAAGAAACACCAGATTTTTTTTTTTAATCAGATTCTTTGGTTGCTGTAATCTACAATTTTACCGGGTGTTCGCACTGGTTACCGTATCTTACCCGAGTGTTTGTTACACGTGAGAAGTAATAAATAATCCCTTTTATGCGGGTCTAGTGTGTTCCTTTATTACTGGAGTCAAGGGTTTATAGGAGTCATTCAAGGGAAGCTAGTATGATTTTATTTAGCACAGAGGGAACAACATACACAAAGGGTTAATGGTTTGTTAAGGCTCTGCGACCCCCTGACCCCCCCTCCCCCTTAATGACACTATTTCACCCGCAGGAACATGCCGCAAAAGAAGCGGTCTCGTGTGCCCAGCCGTGCCAAACCTTTTTTGTCAAATAACCACGTCGGTAAACCGGATTTGGACCAAGAACAACGCAAGGAAAAGCTTCAACTCCTCCTGGACGACTTTGATCGCGAAGGTCAGGGTTAAGAAATGTTGAGCTACACTTAATTATCCAATATATATTCTTTTCTCACTTCTCCAAGCTCTTACATCACATTGCAGGGTGACCAGAACCAAGACCAAACATAGACCCTTTCCTCATATGTTATCAATTTCAATTTTACTCCTCAATAAGCTATTCTGCCACGGTGTATCCACTTCTACAGCAGGGCCCCCAAGATCTGTCCAACTTCTCCCAGTCACTTCAATGATCTCTATGTACTGCTCGACATCAATGAATTGTAATGGTGGTACTGTAGTGAGCTGAGCTATTGTCTCCATCTGTGTTTTCCATGTCCATATTTACAGCCTTCATGTGGAAGTTTGGATCTATTAGTTGTTTCACTTTTACACAGCATAGTTACCACATTGTCTCAGTATGTTGCTATAAACTTTTAATTCTATTTTAAAAAAAGAAGAAGGAATTAATATGATTTCATTAGTTTTCATAATCAGAACACCTCTTAGAATTTGAGTAATGCTATTTTGAATTTCAGTTGAGAAACGTGTGGAACAAATGGAGGCCGAGATGCTGGCCATTCAGCAGCACATCCAACACATGTTCAAGACGGACCTTCTACGTTATCCAGCCAATACCAAAAATATGTTGTTGGTGGATTATATGAATATGGTTTGTGAACAATGCTGGCTAATACACTATAATTTAAGGTTTTGTGGGGTTTCATCAAAATGGGGAGATGACTTATGAAAACTATCTATAGTTAATTATGATTTTTCCATCAAGTTTATGTCATTCAACGTAGGATAAATTTATTGGTGGGTTTTCCAAAGTTGATGTAATTGTACTTTGTATTTGGGCATAATAACATGAAATTGACAACTAAGCTGGATTTAAATGGATCACTTTTGTTCAGTGTGATGCCTGACTCATTAGCTTCTGGAGTTGCAGTGTCTTCTTATCCTTATTTAAAAGCCAGCAGCTGTTAGGTTAGGGTTCTCCTGGGTTCTTAGTCCTAAACCTTCATTGGGAATCTCTGAGCTTAGTCCAGGTGTGATTTAAAGTAGGACATCAAGATCTATCTCAGTTGTATGTATATTTTCTTTCTTTTTTTTTTTTAGTTTACCCACTAATTGTATTTTATTTCTTGTAGAATAAGAGAGGAAAAGGTGGAGCTGTGAGAAATAGTATGGCTAATTTAATCTGTGCGGCCGACACCGTTCTTGAGTCTGCTGCCAAGAAACGGGGACGCAAACCCAAAGTGTTAAAAAGTGACAACTGTGATGTATTTATTATACCTCCACCTGTACCAAGAAGTGAGTATTTTTATAACAATGACTCGTACAACTGTGTCTTCGTTGCTTGGCTCAACTTTCATGCAGTATACTTGTAAGTTTGAATATCTTGTTATGTTACCCATAATCTAGTTTTGTGTTTATTGTACAGTATCTACTTTAAAAAATAGTCTAGTTCAGTTTTTTAGTAACACGGTGATCATTACAGCTTTGTTTTTAATCTATGTTCAAGGTACAAGAAGTTGTAAGCAAAAATCTGTGTTGGGAACAAGCCAGACTGACAACCTACTACCCCCACCCTCCACCTCCAGGGTACAGCGCGCAAAGAAATGGGTGAGTTTCAGCGTATTCATTATAACCTAATCATATGTCTCGTTATTAAGTGAGATTTTACGGAAATATGTGATTGTGCAGAGATCAAGTACCGGAGAGTTTATTGAGCGGGATGAAGACTGCTTGAATCATTGCCATTATGGTCAAGTAGTAATCATGTTTTTATTTAAATGATCTGGTGGTTTCTAAATAATAAATTAGGAAAGTCGTCACACAGTTATGTCAGTTTTGGCGAATAGTGTCATTAGCACAAGAGCCTACATGATATTATTTATTGAAGTCTGCTCTTCAAATTCTGCCTCCTACAGATAACACCAGAGACTCGTTTTATATTTTACGATGTGTTTTGTTTTGTGCCCTGAGATGTGGCCATATTTCCTGTTAGGTGTCAACATCCCTAATTCATATCTGAGTACTGTCCTGTAGCAAGTTAAAAATGTTATAACAGGTTTGGAAATTATGTTGTGTGTACAGTATCCTTCACTTCAGGTTTGTGCAGTAATCCTATGCAGGGTTGGCAGATTATACCTTTTTTGTTGGCTTTAATAAGTTTTTCGTTGGTTTCCATTACTTAGAGATGGTTTTAACGATTTCTAGTAGATTTGGAAAACCATATGATAGGGAGAACAGAAAAGCATTGTGGGGTGGTATTACAAGTTGTATGGGGTGGGAGGAAGGCTATTAAATGCAGTAAAAGCATTCTATGAGAACAGCAGAGCAACAGTAAGAGTAAATGGTGGTGAAAGTGAAACATTTAAAATATATGTGAGTGTTAGACAGGGATGTGTTATGTCGCCAAGGCTGTTCTATATATACATGGATGTGAACTATTATACACTGGTGAAAGTGGTGATTATAAGCTTTCTTACAGGGCTGATTATAAGGGAGCCAAGTTGCCACTGTTCAGTATAACTGGTGACTGCTTCTGTTTATGGTTGGACTCTGACCCTCTGATTCTAATGTGTTCAGATCACATAATTATACATGTCCAGAGGAGCCAAGTTGCCCCCTCTGTCCAACTATACTTAAATAACTTCTTTAAAACTTTCAACTGTAGAAGTAGAATTGTGTTTCCATGCATTAAAATGAAAAAAAAAATAGTTTTTGCCTTTAAGTACGGAGGAGTCGTCTGGGTGACTGATCAGTGCTCGTGTTTTTCAAATTCGTCCTTTACACAGAAATTTTTTGAGATGGAAATGAGTATAAATGATTGCTAAGTCATCCTGAATGTAATTTTTATGATAATAGCATAATAAAAAGTTATAATTAGGACTACAAAAGTAGAAGTCCAAAAATCCGGACTGCTTGGGGATTGGGCCGGTCCGGATTCTCAGGCAGTACTTTTAAAATTCAAATTTAAGGAGGAAAAAAGAAGAGATGAACAGGTACATTTTGATAGTTTATTCATTAGCAAATATAGCATGCTTCATTTATCAAAACGAGCAGTTTTAAAGGAAAAGCTGTGAATTCTAGAATTTTATTCTTTGCCTTTTTTATATCATAAATTGTAGACTTTCCAATGTCGTATGTTTCCATTAGAACAGTATTGCTCACACCACGTTCTAGTTTCTTAATTATTTCAAGTTTGTCACTCAATTTCAACGTGTTCTTCTTTCTCTTCACACAACGAAGTTTATCTACTTTAGGAGCCATTATTATGGGCTTGTACAGTACTCTGTGAATGGAATGAGTAGGACTCAAAATTACATACAGTACGTTGTCACAGTTTGATTGCTCGTTTTAAAGTGGCGACCGCGTGGTCACTTGTTGTCGCTGTGCAGCTGTGGCGCTCACGCATGCGCACATACACAAAAGCCAGCTAAAAAAACAAACAAAAACAAAACCAGTTTGAGTTTTCGAAAAGTCCGGATTCTCGGGTGGTCCGGATTTCTGGCATCCAGATTTTTGGACTTTTACTGTACTGAAAACTTATTAAAACAAACATAATACAAGTTGTACCTCAATAGTCCGGCATTCTGTGGTCCGGAAACTCCCGTGGTCCGGAACGATTTTAGTTTGTCCAATAGGTAGAGAGGCAGCTTTTTTTATCTGAATTATTATTATTATTATTATTATTATTACAGGAGTATTAAATTTTTACCCCTCAGGCCCCAATGTGGGTTAGTGACCTATGCCCGGGTGGGCTAATCCCCATAAATAAAAAACAACAACAAAGCCGCGGGAAATTAAGGTTTGTTTACATCCGGCAGTTCGGCTGCTCTCTCTCTCTGCTTGTCTATACAGAGTGCAACATTTAACCCTTCAATATATATGAGCAGTAAATAAGTGTTGCTTTCATATTCTTATGTAGAGTAATGACGATATGTTTTCACATGTGCGCACTTACATACTCGCAGTCTCACTTTTTTTTACCATTAATGATTAGCTACTTATATTGTTCCATTTATTAACATTAAATAACATTACAGGTGCTTCAAACAACCATATTCATTTTTTACATTAATCTTACTACACCTAAACTCAGGGTCTTATTTTCTTCAGTTTTATATGTAGAACCAATCAGTCACTGGTTTGTAAGCTTTAACATAAACAAACCATATTCCACATTGTCACAGTAAATAAGTGTTGGTTAATCGTCACAGCACTTACATTCTCAACCATTAATGGTTAACTTATATTGCATTACAGGTACTTCAAACAACCATATTCATTTTTTACATTAATTTTACTACAGCTAAACTCAGGGTCTTATTTTCTTCAGTTTTATATGTAGAACCAATCAGTCACTGGTTTCGTAAGCTTTAACATAAACAATGCCGGCAGCCGTCGTCTCCTCTAATATTCCACGTATTATTAATAAATTGTATTGTTAATTTTGCACACACGTACATTAATTCAATAAAAACAAATTCAGAAACATTAATTAAAATATATATGAACAGTAAATAAGTGTTGCTTTCATATTCTTATGTAAAGTAATGACGATATGTTTTCACGTGTGCGCATGCGCACTTACATATGCAATCTCTCTTTTTTCTTTACCATTATCGTTAGTTACTTCTATTGTTCCATTTATTAACATTAAATAACATTACTTAAAACAACCATATTAATTTTACTACAGCTACAACCAAGGTCTTATTTTCTTCAGTTTTATATGTAGAACCAGTCAGTCACTGGTTTTGTAATCAACGAAAACAATGCTGTGTCATTTCCTCGTGTGTTTTAATATTCTACGTATTATTAATGAATTGTACTGCTCATTTTGCACACATAAACATTAATTCAATAAAAAAGACATTCAGTAATAAACAAAAATGAATCTTTTGTACATAAGAGAAATGACGCTGTTTACACGATTATGCACGTCGTCTGCACGTTGGCGGGCCGTTCAAACCCGTCGAAATTCAAGTTTCCGCCGTCAAATTTTTTATTTTATTTTTTTGTGTGTGTTCCAATAAAATACGTTGAATTAAAAACTCGCGAAATTTGAGAAGCTACTATATGACATTTAACCCTTCAATATGTCTTCAAAGAGACCATGATGCAGAGAAAGTGGTGCTAGTGCTTCCAAGCATAAGCACAAGTCACTATCTATCCAGGAAAAGGGTGGATTTCCATGGTCCGGCACCGGTCAGGTCCCGAGGTTGCCGGACTAGAGAGGTACAACCTGTAGCATTAAAACCGAAACAACAAAATTTAAGAATACCCCGGTAAACACATTTGTTTTCTTAGAGGTTTTTGCTAACCCTGCTGTGCCTTTAAGTTTTAAATCACATTTATATACATTTTCTTAAAAGTAAATGTACTGTATTTACGATATAAGCACGTTAGTTCTCACTTCCCAAAGAATTGTCATTTAACGTCAAAAATACGCTTGACCTCAGTTTTCGACACTTGGAGTAAAAGAGATGGGTTTTGTTTAAATTGTATACACACGTACTACTTTACATGATGATTAAGGATCTGGGTTCACAATTTAGAATATTTAAAAAGTCAATTATGCTGTTTCATTCCTACACTTCAGGATATTGATTAGATTTACTACAGGTCTGTTAAGGATGTTGTGTAAAGTTGATTCACTGAAGTAGAATATATATAGTACAGTACAGTGAAATTTGAATAGATAGCATACTCAAACTTGCTATCATCTAATTGTAATATGACGCTCAATTCTTTTTCATTTGCAAGTTTAGCCAGTACCCTGAGTATGACTGCCTAATATAGCCTCTTATATCCACAGTCCAGTACCATATTTCAACACTAAATTCTTTCATTATGTTTCCTTCATAACCTCTCATGATTTTAAGGAGATGGGCACAACTCCATTCAACCAGAACATCAGTCAGAAGTCGTTGTCGGCATTAATGGTGACTCCTAAATTTGATCCGCATACCCCACTTCCTCCTGGGACAATCAAGAGAAGACCCAAGGTTGGTGAGGTGGCAATGTCTCTGACTGGATCACCCCTGCAAGTGTCACCCGCCATCAATTGTAAGATGCGCGTCCAGGTACGTTCTTTTTTTTTAACCTTGGTCTTCACGTCTCTGCATTTTTTATCTATAGAAGGTAAGATTAATGGATTGTAAGGTGTGTTTAGCAGGATGAAACACCACCGACTAATTGAGGCGCTCCCAATGATAGTGACGAATCAACCAATGGTGTCACTACCAATGGGAGCATCTTAATTCATGGTCAGTAGCTGGGATCATCGGACTTGCAGGTAAGAGTTAGCCAAGGTGTTACTGGTTATGGCACTTCTATCTGATAAGTTGAAGTGGGTAACTTCGAAACTCTTATTTGCTTAAGCTTAGCATTGTCAACACAGAGAACTTGCTGGTTACTCCTTTTGTTAACACCCAAAGGCTGGGTAGGAAAAACAACAAAATGATAAAATAAAAACCAGCAGGTGATTTAGGATGCAGTTAAACAGGGTGTCTACTGGTCTGGAAACCCTGGAAAATGCAAGGAATTTTATTTGGGGTTGGAAAACATGGAAAAACTTGGGAATTTCACAAATAAGTCTGGAATTTTTTTAATTTGTTTCAACTTCAAAATATTGTTATTTTGACAGCAATCTTACCATGAATTAGTGATGTACTGTATAATAAGTAAATAATTAAACTTTAGGAACAAATTCCAGTAAATAGGCCACTCCAGTAACTGAATTGTTTGTGTACCTGTCATATTTCATGTTAGGGATCAAATAACCAAATATTACAGGTTATACCTACTGATTTTGCAGTGAGTATTGTCAGAGATGAATTGTTTTATAATTCAGTGACACTATTTCAGTAGATTATTCCACATATTAATCACGAGTCATATAGGTGTATCAGGAGTCTGATTTATCTGTTTTTGCCGGATTTTCCGGCTTTTTTAGAACGTCCAGGTCGACCCACATGAATTGCACAAATCCGAGGAGAAAATATTTTGGGGGGGGGTGTGTGTCAAGTTGATCTTCATCACTAGGCTCGGGTTGGGTTGGGTTGAGACAGGGTTTTCAATTTCTTGATTAATATATTTTTTATCATTAAATTTCCCAATAGTATACTGTACAGTATACATATTATTGAAGAGCTCTAATTTTGTTATTCTGTTATAATAAATACAGAATTACTGTACTGTACCTGGATTTTTTCAAACATACACCGGGAAAAGCCAAGGATTTTTTTTTTTTGTCTGGCCATTAGACACCCTGTTAAAGGACTATCACTCTGAAGTGTTAATACTCCTTTTGGTAAACTGATTTTGTCCCACCATAGTGCTCTTGGGGCTAAGCGTGGCCAGTTATTCTATTGCAAATTGTTTTTTACTTTGTGATTATATTTTTAATCTATGTAAACTCTTATCAGGAATTGATGGCAGACCTTGATGATGACATCACCGATGAGGAAACCAAAACCCAACTTCAGACAATCCATGAGAAGCTGAGCAAATTCCTGTTCTGTGAAACAGGCAGTACATTACCTAGTTAATTGTGGTGAGTTATGTTGTGGAAACATCTGATAGATAGTACATGATGTAGCCTTATCATATTTATGAAAAACCATTGCATTGGAATTACTGTGTGTAAATTATATTATTATTAGAAAGGCTTAATAACTCTTCTTGTCCAACGTGTCATATCTCATCTGACTTTTGTTCATTTGACACCTTTGGTAACAAAACTTATTGGTGTGGTGTTTGTGTAAAATAAAAGTGTATACAGTAGTCTCTCAGTATAGGGGGCTTTAGTAAAACCTCGATAAATCGAACTTCAATACAATGAACCCTCAAAGATCTGGACTAAAAGGGGGGACCACCTGTCCGGAAAAGCCGATTGTCCAGATTTTCCGGTGATCAATAAATGATATAAGAAACACCAAAAATACAGTACAGGGGCCCCCCTGTTTTGTATGTGTGTGTAAACACACACACATACAGGTAAAGGAACTTACCGTGTATAAACCATGCATTTTCCTATGATAACATAATAAGAAACAGTGTATCATTACTAGAGTGAATGAAATAATATTCCCACAAACAACAATTGTCAACTGATAATGTTTCCCACCTCCTGGGGCACCTGTGTCTTAGTGCGACCGACTGGTCAAGCAGTGCCCACAGGCCTCAAATGTTCTTTGCTCTGGTTTGGGAATGTTTCTTATGGAAACTTCTAGGAGGCTTCTTAACCCAGAATACCCAAATTATTTGTCCGGATTTTCCGAAATCTGGATTTCCCGGGTCCGGATCTTCGAGGGTTTATTGTACTGTATATCGAAAGTCACTTTTATTTTTTACTCTAAGGTGCTCTGGTTACCAGAAATACTAAAAAAAAATTAAGAAATGGGAAGATTAATAAATAAATCCTATGAAAAGAACCACACTTACTGAATACTCTACAGTGGTCTAATCAGATTTGCTTTCGGCTTACTAAGCAGGCTGGTGCTGATCCATTGTTGCCACATTCGTCAGGTATATTTAGTTATTGATTCAGTATTTTGTTATCATATGATAGGCCCCTTATGGTTTATGGTTGATCATAAACGACCGTACAGTACTGTACTATTTTACCAAGTGTTGAACATAGATGTTGTGGTAAGCCAATCAGCTGTTTGCCCTTTGTAAACAAATGACTCTTGGTGTTCAGTGTGGGATTCTTTTAGGATAATATTTAATCAACCTGGTACCAAATAAACCTAAATTATATGAGAATTATGGTGAAATTGCATGGTGTTAAGGAAATCTTGGGGGAGGGAGCCACCCACCCCTACTACCCCCTCATCTCCTCCCTGCCAGCTGCTCCCAGATAAACACTCATCTTCCTCATACAATATACTCCTACACTTATTTGTTCTTATTTTTATCTTTATAGTACTGTACAGTATACAGTTTTCTTTATTCATAAGACAAATTCATTGGTTGCTTACATATAACACTTTACAGGAAATAATCATCTGGTGAAAACAGTTGTTGACCAGACTTAAGTGTGATTTTCAACCCAGAGAGTTCTGTTTCTTATTTTTTTATTGTTGACGCAATAAATTTTCAATAACCTTGTTTTACACTTAAAGACCTTAGTTGTTAAGTGCAGAAATAACATAACTGAATTTCTTTAAGCAGTTCAGATAGGTATTTACGATGGGGTTACATTCCTGAAAAAAAACACATCACAGGCTGAAATATCGTTTGGGATTGTAGTGCACCGGGTGGCTGCATGGATAGCCCACAGCTGACAAGTGTGCTGAGAGATGCATTGGCAGGATTATGACCACTGTTCATTAATGTTTTTTATTATCGTAAATTAGGGGATGGTCTTATTACACCACCATCGTTAAAGCGAAATATTATAGACAGAGAGATGGTATAATATAGGATACCTGTACTGTAGGAACTGTAAATAGTTTAAACTACATGTGTGTAATAATGACTTTTAAAACCTTAAGAATAGTTAAAATACAATGTTATATATATTTTTTTGCCACAAAATATTAAGACTACAATGAATTTGGTATAACTTTACAGTAGTCTTTAACCTGTTTAATATTTAAATAAAGTAAATAAAGTCTTTTATTGCTATCTTTAATTTCATACAGGTTTTCAGTTAGTGACAACTTGACGTCTAACACTATTTGCTCTTTTCCACCACCTGCTTTTATGTTGTGCTATGTACTGTACTGTAAATTTAACCTTTGCACTTTATTATTTCTTCTGGGGAGTTTCCACACCTCTGCAAAACCCATGCAGCCACAGTGTGTTTTGATTATTTTATATTTCTTTGTTTTATTGTAATTCAAGTGGTATTACAGTATAGGTAAAACTATTATTTTATTTAATATGTTTGTAATTCTGTACCAACATCAATCAACCATATACTAAGATTATGTAGATAATTATTGTGCTCAGAATATTAAGTTTACATGCAATGGAAGTTATTTTTATTGGTACTGTATATAGTATTTTTATCATCATTCTTAGAACAAAATCCTTTTCCTTGGAGGCACATTGATTGAAGCCTGAGGGTAAAGTCTTGAAAGTAAAAATATATATACAGGAAGTGTATACTGTATGTTATGCTATTTCCAATAGAATAATAGGGTTGATATTAACGTGTTAGGGTGGACTTAACTATTTAATAATCAAAACACACAACACTGGTATGGCATGCGGCAGCACTTACACGGCACCACTGGACTCTCACACACACACAGCTCACGGCAGGACTCCCACAGCACACACAGCTCATGGCAGTAAGTGTTGACCTAACCAGCCCGGAGTGCGACTGGCGGGGTGATGGTTCGCGGCTGCTAGCTCACCTTCATCACACCACCTCGTAGTCCGTCTCATTGGTCAGTCCTGTTATGACTCGCTGTGGCGTTGATTGACATCGGTAATTGCTGCTTGAACCAGCCGAGTCCTTAGCCAGCTGGTCCACAGTCATGGCATGACACTACACTGTACTATAAGTGCATAACAGTAAGGGTGTGTAATATTTTGTTTGTGTAGGAGAGGAAGGTTATTCAGAGTTGCCAACAGACCTGAAGGCAGTCCAAGTGGATCAGGATTCCCATTGGGATCGTTAGAACAATTCACCGGGAGGGTCTGTTATCTGCATGGGTTCATAACTCGCCAGACTGTTGTCGCTGCCCTGCCATTAGTTTTTTTTATGTTGAAAGTGCCTTCACGTGGAGAAACCCACAGGAGTAGATAGAGGGGGTCCTCATTATAAGTGGTCAAATGATTGTGGACCTACACATAAAAAGTTCCCGCAGTTAAGAGCATTTTAAAGTTGAAATCTGTCGATCTTAGGGAGCACAAGCATTTAAAATTGCTACCCACCTCTCATTTTCTTAAAGGTCATCCTTCTCACCTGGGCTATGCATGCTCAGTACTAGTTGCCTGTGTCCACAGGCATTATTTTGAAGTACTCCAAGAACTATAATCATCAACTTTGTTGTGTCATTGGTGGACTATTTTTGTAACCGAAGCAAGGTGGTGTAGTGGTTAAAAGGAAGCGTAGTAGCTTTGGGATGGACGTGAAATTAGAAGTTACATGTCGTAAGAAAAGTTGTGAGCATGTCTCAATGAACCACTTTCACTGAAATTAGTTTGTGTGGTTAGGTAGCTTGTGCCCCATCAACACATGACTTTAAGTTCAGTTGAGTTTAAAATTTTCTTAATATAAAGTGTAATCAAATGTTTCTAAGGGGTATATATATATATATATATTAAAATATACCAAATTAAACTTTGAGTGCCACTTACAATGTGATAGTCCTGGTTAGACCTGATTCCTATTCATACTTATGGGAATTAATTCCCATTTATGTAATTATATACATACTATACATAACAGTTTGTGGTATTTGCATTATTTGTGGTAGACAGATTAATGAACAGTCAGCCAAAGATCCAGCGACTCCACCCTGAGTCTCTTACTGGCAATACTTGGTAGAGTAAGGATGTACTTAAAGGTGATTGGTGGATCTATTTTTGGCTGTATTACTGTCAGGATAAATATTAAACAATCCAAAGGTAGAATTTTTATAATAATAAACTATTCATTGTTATTTAAGATCATGAGAAGTTTCCAAAAGTTTGTGTATTTGCTTAAATAATGTCAAAATTATATTAATGAATTAGCAACTCCACTACAACGAGGAACGAGGACTTCCACACGGTTCTCAGATCAAATTTTCTTCATTATTTAAGCAAATTTTTAAAACATTTGAAAATTTCTCATGATCTTAAATAACAATGAATAGTTTATTATTATAAAAATTCTACCTTTGGATGGTTTAATATTTATCCTGACAGTAATACAGCCGAAAATAGGTCAACCAATCACAATCACCTTTAAATACATCCTTACTCTACCAAGTATTGCCAGTACAAGACCCAGGATGGGGTCGCTGGATCTTTGGCTGACTGTACCTGTATTAACTCTGCTATGTGGTAGCCGGCCAATTATGTTCTTTATATGACGAGCATTTTAGTAGTGAAACCTCCATATAATGGACTTCTCTCTATATAATCCACGAAATGGGGGTTTTACATCTAATAGACCCTCGATATAATGGACTTTCCTCTCCATATACAGTACAGTACTCTTAAATAGAGGCGTCACTGTATTACTGCTGTAAGATTTATACCATATTTTATGTATGGTAATGTGTTTGTTTCTTATAATCAAAATTATGTGACACTCACAGTTTCCCCAAAACACTGGGTACTGTACACCTCAGTATAATGGATAAATATATAAGTAATTAAGATATGCACTGTATTCTGGTCTGTTTAATCACAGATCTTAGTCATTTCAAATGTTGGAGTCTTACAAGATCTTGTTTGATGGCCTCAAAATTGTATAATCATCTACAGTATATCATGTGTGAACAAGTCGATTTCACAATTAAAGTTTTATTTAGGTGAGCTGAAGTATGTACACTTATGGCTATTGGCATATTTGGTATAGTATATTCTACTTTGTTGTAAATTACCAAATGATAATTTAAAGCAAATATAATCTACATACACTACATAGTTTTAACAACTACTGAACATGGAACCAAATATCATGACAAAAAACATGTTTATTTTTTTTTTTGGCATATTGTATTTTTTGGGTAGTCATAATAATGATAACAAAGCTATTGAATAAAATGTGGAACACAAATAATCATTGCACTATATAAAGCCTTCAAGGAAAGGAAAATTTATGTAAAACTTCAATCTGGTTCTGTACTGTACTGTACTCGTTGGCAGTTACGTTAAAATATGACTAATAACACGAGTCATTACGACGACTAAAGAATAAAAGATGTATAGCTAAGTTGTCTTTATAAAATTAGGCATTGGTTATGAACATAAAACACATTCATTAAACCCCTGCCTAGCATCCCTCAATCAGTCTTACAACATAATGAGCTTCAGCATCACAAAGCACACTGTCTGTCTCTTTCATATTACAAATGTAGATGAAGCAGCAGTTCTTGAAAACCAAGATAGAAAGACTTGTTTGTTGGTTCATTTGGTAAACAAACATATCTTTTTGGCTATGCACAAATACTACACAACATATAAATAATAACACTTTCAGACACATTATGCTATGTTTCAGGTCACAATGTACATGTGCACAGTTCATCATTACTATACACACATGACTTGTTGTGAACACAACTATTACTGTACTCACATAGTAGAGCAGATATTTGCCCTTAGTCAACATACTGTGGAGTGAGAAGGACTTCATAAATTCATCCTACAAGCCAAGCAGTTTATCCATTATCAAACATTCATAACATAATATTTTATATCTAAAATACATAAATCTTACTCATAAGCTGTTGGTATACCTAAGATTTCCATTTAAATACTACTTTCAATAATGGAAATCATAGTGCGATACCTTCAAATATATAACAGCTGTTTTAGTCATAAACATCTCACGTGAACGTGTACAAGATTACGTCTTATAAACAATGAGCAATAATGTGAGAAAAGAATTTTGTACCTACACTGTGTCAGTGCCATAACTACAGAAAAGATGCTTATGAGTATCACTTACAGTTCCACTATATGGAATCAAATGCACACTAGTGCTAACAATACAGGATTGATAAGAAACCGAGCATATCGTTCAAGTTTACAAAAACACATCCAAAGGAATCCTTTACTTAGGGATTCACAATTTGGAAATCACAAGTTACTAACCACAATCCTGTTCTTCATATAACTGGCCTGAATCACGAGATATTAATACCCCAAACTTTTATATCACTCTGGAATGAAACATAATTCACCTGACTCGTTTCATTACATCAATTAAAAGTTGCCAAATATCTTTCTCACTCCATAGGCAGCTAAATGAATGCCAGTTGTGGTCATGCAGCTCCTTTATGTAATATCTTATTTGACAGCAATAGTCAATCTGGAACATAATGTGAACATTAAAATGGCAATTAATGCAAAAGTACAGAACATATGAGAAAAATATTATACTGTACTTTCTATCTTAGTTCCCTAATTGAAACTGGATCTAAGTACAGTATTGCAAATGTAAAAAAGAAGTTGCTATAAACTGTTATCAGTGATTTACTAACATAAACTGCACATTATTCACTATATACTGTATTAGGTGCAGTGTTTACAAAACTACGTTGCAATTTGTTTACAATCTTTGTGGTAGGTAGAGGCACTCAAAAGGTGGCAACTCAACATGTCATATAGATCAATCAACAAAGCTGCTCAACTTTCTTCCATCTGTTACAAAGAGAAAGTACAATATTTTTTTCTTAAAACTTGCTACAAATTATTACCATATAAGTGTAAGAGTACAAAGGCTGCATTACAAATTACTATAGTCAAATTTTTGATAAATGTGACACTTGTCAGCTTCACCAAGTCATAGTAATTGAAGCTAATTTTTGGTTTGGTTTCTATGATTTCATCAGTTGGAGAAATATACTTCAAAACAGATACAGTATAGAGTCAAGCATTAAGCATTAGCCATTTTTGTTATTTATTCAAAACCCAATACCTATGGCAGTCCCGAAGGTTCTCTGAAGTGTTGTGGCCTTTAAGTCTGGTGAGCTGTGCATTTGGACACTGTACTGACAACACACTGATGCAAATGTACAGTGCTAGAAAAATATTATGAACAGGACCGCAAAGACCTTTTGATTACTAATTTATAGAAAGGAAATAACGAAAACTAACTAACCCTAACCTATCCTAGCCAACACTATTCTAGGTTTGTTAGGTTTGATTAGTTCATGTCATCAAAAAATAAACGCTTTAGCAATGCAGTTCATGCTACTTTTCTAACAACGTATGGACACCTCCGCCTCCCACACCTGATTATAAACAAACACCGACGTCAAGAACTTAACTTTCTGGCTGAAGGTAATAATTCTGGTGTAAGCAATTGTGTGATGACAATCTTTCATGACGGCAAGACATCTCCATCTCCCGACTATACTTTCTGTTTAAATTAAATTATCACATCATGAAGTACAGTAGCTAAAACAACTATTTCTGCATACTTTGTGGGAAACAATACGAGACCATGGACGATAAATTTTGGTGTATGAGGGCTGTCACTAGTCACATGTAAAATTTTGGAGCATATCGACCCCCACCTGCACAGATAGTTGTGTTAGCTACTGTATATATAGCTGGGGATATACTGTAATGGTGCTAAGTGATATAAAAAGAAGAACAAATTAAGGTTTGATTTCATTACCGAGTCTGAATTGAGCAACTGTATAGCCAGAAATGCATTTTACAATGTCAGTCACAAGGTGGGACTTTTGGCATTTGAATTGTCAATCGATGGAAATGCTGGCCTCACAGTGCTGTCCAGAATCATTGAAGGTCTATAAACAAGTCAAATACTATTGGTGACTAATGTGATAGGTAAATTCAACGTAAAAATTGGTAATCTAAAGTCCTTGATTAAATTTCCATAATTTCTAATGCTATGAAACTGACCCAGATTGGACATGCTGTGAGCACATAAGACAACACATGTAAAGAGACACTGCACTCTAAAACATTTTTATGTTCATCACAGTCTATGAAGGCTCAGAAATTGTAGCTACTGTATGACTTTTTACATTCTTCATAAAAGTGACAGATTAAGCAATTATGATTTTTTTTCTTATCATCAGCACCAATGTTGTTAAAATATAACTAACACTGTGTAACTGGTCAAAACTATTTATACAAGTAATTTAAAGTACCACTGAGTGTCTGTTCATGCTACATTTGTTTGGCTTTACTGTGTAACACAACACTCTTACTGTACATTTCCCATTTTCTGACTCTACAACTGGGAGAGCTTTGTTGAAGTGAGGTTTCAGCTTATAGAACACCAATGCATGAACTATTCAAAATAAACCAAACATTCTCAATAAAATATGTCATGGTTTTAATAATAAGATTTTCTGCTTTTAAGTTCTTTCTTTGCACATTACTAATTTCACTTGAAGTAAGAATTTAAAATTTGATTACCTTAGACAGTACTGTAGTCTCATAAGTACACCTGATACCTGCACATCAAGACACACAAACACAATACTGTATACATTACAGCATACAGTAATCCCAAGCAAATTTTTGAGGTTCTGTAAGAAATTATTTACATTTTTACCAAATTACTTTATCAGAGTTTATCTGTTATGTAATATAGGGGCTTTGGTTCCTGAAGATCAAACTTGGGCATGAACTACAATACAATAATTAAAGGTTGGAAAGTATTCACATTTGCTAAAAAAAAGAGACAACACACTTCAGCGTCTATGTGGTGAGACGACAGGTTGTGGCTTAGCTCAAGGGGGGTGGTGTATAAAGTGTTCCAATAGTGGTACATTGATCCCAGCCACACCAATGCTTGGGTTCCTGAAGCCTTGAGAGGAGAGCGTTAACCATATGTCTATGACCGGAACATCATTACCATACACCAGATACAGTACCAAGGTTAGAAACACGGATCAACTGTGAGAGATACCACCACTGTCAACTAAGCTCTGTAATTGTCGTCCATTATATCGATGATGAATGCCAAAAAATCAATCTAAGGTCTACAATATCCGATACCTTCCAGGGATATTCCTTAATCTAGACAATCAAATAGTCCACACGGTCACAAGTAAGAATCAAAGACACTATTGGACCCTTCTAAAATAGTCTAAAAGGATCACAATCAAACTTACTTACGTGGACTCCCAATAACACCTATTAGTCCACCACAGAAAACTTGACTTATTGCACTTTCCTCTTGAGCTCACGGTCATTGAAAGTGGCAAAGGTACAACCACCCACAATAGTCCTGTCGCCCCTCTTGTTGAACCACAAACCCCGATATTCAGACTCATGAACCCGAAGCATTATTCTGTCCATTAATGCTTCGGATTTGCAAGTCTGAATCTCAGAGGGGGGGTTCGTGTTTCAGGAAGAGAAGCGACAGGACTCTGCGGTTGACTGTACTGTTTTAACAAATATAAACATATTACACAAGACATAACTAATTAATACAGTATATTCTGGTGACGTCACTGAGCTGAGAAACACAACAATGCCTTACAACTTACTATCCGTGTTCTCTCCACCAATCTCTAAATCTATTATTGCAGAACATAGCTTTTGTTTTCTTTTACTTATCTCTTTTATTTATCTGCCCACCAAAATCTTGTTAAGTGTGTTGTAATGTACAGTAAAATAATGACTTGGAGTGCTGTGGTAATAAGTCATAAAACACATAAATTACTGATGTATACAAACAACTCCTGGAAATGGAGATGATGAAGCAAGTGTGTAAGATTGATTATCAGAGGAAAAATCAATCAATCACAGTAAGTACACATAAATTTCACCAAGTTACACTAATCGATGCACCAAGATGAATAAAATAAACAGATACGTGGAATTAATAGCACGAAACAGGTAAGACACAAGTACCGTTAACCCCATGTACCTGTTAGATGCCAACGTGTTTTAATTACATTACTGTATTCTAAAAGGTCTCCAACACATTAACTGCAATAATTGTTCCTCCGAAGAGTACTGTAAAATACAAGGATTCCATAACAGCTGTGGAAGCTTTAACATAACATTCGTACTGCTAACAAGATTTACCACTAAAAATATATAAAGTTTTGGACATGGAATAAGACTAATAATATAGAAATGTTTCCAATAGCATCTATCCATTAAGTGACATACATACTGACTATAAACTTAAAAACAGTATAAAGGTACAAGAGTTAAAATGGCAATACAGTACAGTACTCCATCCTGTCTGGCAGAGTGTCTGTGTCCTGCTGTATGCTCACAATTCAACAAAATACACTACACACAGATACCGTATATGGTACAATAGCACTACCACGAATGTCTGTGTACTGTACATAACATAAATCAATATCAAATATGAAATAAAAATCATCCTCGAACAAAGTCTGCTTGTAAACGTAATAACAAAACACACTAATCGCTTAATAGATAAAAAAAAACCACAAATATCACAAGCAAAGATTAAAAAAGGAAAACAATATATCCTCCTCCTACCAAGAATAATTATCATCACTGTCCTTTTCCTTACATTATACTGCACCTACTGTTCTTAGTCAGACCAAGTTGCTTCTCTCACACCACTTATGAGAATTCACATCTAAACATTCCACTCGGTTAAAAGATTCTGAATCTTCAACAAGTGGAATCTAATGTAATGTGGTCACGTGATAACTTTACTATGCACGGTTAGATTGAACATGTATACTGTATACTTATTAATGTAAGCCTTTTATTCTCTTGTGATGAGATAACAGATGCTAGGTACTGTAGTTAAGATGTACGACAGCGAGTTATATCATTAATCACAAATTTCTCCCATCACTGTCGCCACCACACCTGGATTCCAATATCAAAGGAAAGAGTACAGGTGGTCCTTATTATAATGGTTCATAATATAACAATTTGTAAAGTGAGAGCAATTTTCCCATAGACACAGTGTTATAAATGGAGGCTGTGTTCATGGCGGCTCATTTCAGATGTGATGTGAAACCAAAACTAACCAAACTATTAAAAAAATAATAATAATAATAAAAAATAAAATAATTCAATAAATCAATAAAGAGTATATCTCTAAATGTATTATGAAATGAACACTTATTAAAAATATACATTAGAACAGAACAAATACAGTATGTAAATTAGTACAGTGCTCATTATTTCTCTAAACACCTAAATGAGTGATTGATCTTGAAATCCAATTTATAATACCATTGGTAGCATATGACCTAAGATGTTGCATAAAAAGGGATGTTATTACTACAATCAATCAATAAATTATAATACTCTAGAAATGGATCAAGCAACTCGTGTACTCGACTCAACCAACTTGTGAGTTTAACTACTGGGTTACCAAGAACCTTCCATCTGTATGACTGAGCTACTCTAGAAATCCAGCAAACTAGAAATCTTGTAATAGAATTTCCCCCCAATTCAACCAATAGCCCCTAGAAGCAGGAATAAACTTTGGGAGAGATCGGAGTTCTCTGATCAATACAATGGGATCCCGAGTCATACTGTACAAGACTAAACAAAGAATCTCTAACAAAAGAAAAACTGCTAATGCACAACAGGATGACACGACTACCCTTCATGCTCTGAGGTCCAGTTCCTTTCAAGTACTGTACTATATGTAATTCACTATAAAACAACAAAATGATGTTCTATCCTTACATGAACAGTGATTTCCATGATGATCAGGGACGGTGCCACACAAGCAAATGATGACTTCTCGAGACAGTAACAATAGAACCAGTCTTAACTTTACACCAATACAGTATTCCAACATCATGAGCCAGTTTTCATTATGACCAACATCATCGGAGAGTATCTCTTCCTCTTTTCATGATGATCTGTCAGGGTAGTCTTAAAAACAACGTACAAAATCTAACTCAGGATTCAACCAGAATCCTGCTGGCAGGCTGGGATGATAGCCTAAGTAACACTATCCCATGAAAAGTAGAATCTGTCCCCTGGTCCAGCCTGGGTAATCATTTAATGTACTGTACTGTACTGTACCTGTCTATCCTCAAGAAAAATGTAATCAAGAGGCTAAAGTACATTCCTATCCTACAGGAAAGTCAACAAATAAAAATGACACAGATTAAAATTTTCCATACATAATGAATGAATTTGTCAAGAACATCTGACAAAACTCACCAATTAATGGATTGTGAACTTAATTTCTACACAACTAATCAAAGCAACACATAAATAATACTCCTCATGACTAGACAAACAATACAGTACTGTGCATGGTAAAGAAAGCAGAACCCTAATTCACAGACAGGAATCCCATAAGCTTCGTCTTGAACTCAACTCCAGGAAACAATACACCACACTGCAAGATATCAAACAGTAGAAGAAAATTCCTTAATAGTTTTATAGCACAAGAAAATTACAAAATAAATGACATAATGGAAGTACAGTCAACAGCGGAAATAAACAGGAATTGGTTGATGGGTGACTCAGGTTTATTGAACAAGGTTGACCCATGAACTGACCCGATGAACAACCAGATCACAGTTAACTAATTGTTACTCTCATAAGGTTCCAATATGCTCTATGACTGGGTATAAAGGGGCACAGTATAGCCCACAGATAAAAAGTATTTTATGTGTACTGTATTCAGCTAAACAATACATGAAATTAAGAGGTTCAGGAGCCTGATAACTTGTCCCACTTTCAACTACTAAATGGACGATCGAGCAACAGTAAATAATCCAGTAAAGTGTAAACTAATATATAGGAATGATTGGCAACCAGGCTAGTTTTCAAATTTATTGTTTAAGTGAATAAATAAAACACCTACCGAGCTGTTAAAACGAGCCATATGCGAGACGTCCAAACAGCTGAGAAGCAACAGTGGAACAGGTCAATAACCCAGGCACACAAGTGAAGGGTCCTTGGAAAGCCTGAAGTTGAACTCACAAGGTTGTTGGCTGGCAAAAGTAGATGGTTCATTTGATCCACTGCATGTTATAAAATGACTTTCTAAACAGTACTGTATGTCCTTGTGTATGTGCACAATGTATACCTGTACAGTACTGGCCACTAACATATTGCTCTTCTCGTAATTCTTAATAAAGTTTGCCGAGGCGTCAACTTTACATTTCAGGCCAGAAGGAGATGACACAATGAAATAGAAGTTCATAATACTGTAATGTCTTCTTAACACAACCCAACTGCAATTGGTAAATTTTACTTGGCACATTCTATTTATTCTAAATATGAAGAATTAAAGCATGAAATCCCATTTTTATGATGGAGGGGAAGAAATGAGTGATCAATATTCTATAAGATGTCAGCAAAAAATCCTCCAGCCAAGACTGCCTCTGGCCCCACGGAAACCTTCACAACCCAAAATACAGTAGTGTGTGTTGGCTGCAGGAGTGTTGGAGTGAACATCTGAGCCTGTATCTCATGCTGGCTATGTTTACGGTCTGTAATAATGCTAATTCTCTTTTACCAATATATACATTTTATAGGGATTTTCATGACCATGCCATAAAAATGGATTAACTTATAGTGGTAACAAAGCCTATTCATCCATGTGTGTGTATTTCTTACCTGAAGTCAATAAACTACAATTTTCATCAGCATCTGCTGGTTATATATGTTGTTTAACTTAAAAATGTCAACAATGATAAAAACATTTTCTCTTAATAATGTAAGAATGGAATAACATGTCAAAATGAAATCTAATGTACAGTTTTTGTATGTGATATCTGGACTGAGTTCATAGTTTCGGCCTCTTGTCAGGTTTGTGAATCTTGGCAATGAGAAGTGAACCTTGTGATCAACAGCTTCCTGAAGGCGTCTTGGATAGTAACGAAACTTGTTGTTATGGTTTAAACAAGAGTTACATCAGCATTGACATGAAAGTTATTTTTGTGACTGAAATTGTGTATGTTTCACACCTAACCCTTCACTATAGTGAAGCCACTTTTAATACCTTATTTGGTTAATGACAGAAGATTTTATTCAGCATAGAGGGAATCCTGCACACAATTGGTTAAGAATGTGTTGAGGCTTGAAAGAATTCCCAAGTATTAAGCAACAACTGGTGAATAGATTATGGTGTGGCAAATGAGGTGAACTTGCACAGAAAAGTGAATATTATCGCTGGGTGGATGGTATGACTGAACACCAATTGAGCAATATACATACTGTACTCTGCTTTAAAAAACATTTCTCAGGCTAAAATTCCCAAGGCAAGTGTAGCTGTTTGGAGCATTTGTGTCCTTATATAGAGAGCCTACACAAGGGTTTCTAAGACAACGTGTTCACAGTAGATGTCTTGTTAGGGAGATCATTCAAAGAGTTGGTCAGAGTAAAACATTGATAATAGACAATGTGCAAAATAAATTACTGTAGGTGCCCGTGATCCCTATACGTACATGCTGATAACCCTTCACTACAGGAATGTCACTATTAATATATTATTTGGGTAATGCCAGACGACTTTATTCAGCACAGAGGGATCCCATACACAAGGGGTTAACTAAAGTTTTTGATCAGTTATGGATGATAATAACCACATATGTACGGTATATTACTTCATATCAACCATCCTGTGTGGCACCAATTTAAGGCATTTTTTGAAGATCCTCACAAAATTTAAAATGAAATTATCTAGTATGTCCGGTAATAAAATTTATGAATGACAAAAATTCTCATATCTCTGCAAACTTACTTTGAGAATCGTCTTACACAGAAACCAGACTTCAACACATTATTAAGTTCTTGTATCTCATCACAGAAAACTAATTCCTTAAAAAAACATATTTCCTAAATATTTAATGTCTGTTCAAATACAGAAGTCGATGGTGTTAATGGTGGTGTTGGTGATGGTGTAGGAGATGGTGGTGTAGGGGATGGTGGAGGCCAGGCTATTTGCATTGTGTGATACAGTACAGATATGGATTAAGTAATACAAATAAAATAGCTTAAGCAGAGAGACTGAGAGAGTGCGGTGAGGGCGTTTACACTGTGTCTGTGGTGTAAAGGTGAAACATATCCACAAACACCATAACAAAACACTACAGTAAAAGCTTAGCAAGATAATGGTGGGCAGCATAAACGTTGAACCTCAAGCAGGCAGTAGAGTTTATTCAAGACTTTTTTCAACATTGTCTTTATCATTATTCATTGGCATTATAAAAAAGAAGAATTCATAAAAAATCTTAGACAAGTTGTAAACGTTCATTTAAAAACCACTTGCTTCACAAACACACAATGTTGTGAGACTTACAGTCGTTACTTTGGCCTGATTTTAAAAGCTAGCCTCTTTATCATTAAAACAAGAATAAACCTCTGCTATAAAACTCTTCTCTCACGTACACATAACTAGACAAAGGAAGTAAACTTAGTCCTTAAAATAAAATTAACTTTCTTTTCTATCATCACCTATAAGCAAGTGATATATCTTCATAATATCTGCCGATCACGCATACAATAACTTTATTTCTTCTGCTAAATTGTCTACATCTTCTAAACTCATTTGTATATATTAAAAAATCCAGCAGAGGCAACATCACTCTTATGTCCTGGTCGTTCTCTTCGCCACACACGAGGAATACGGCGCTTCTGGATACACGGGGTACGTTGTATAGAACTAATTACTTGTACTAATTTCTCTTCTTTAAGTAAACATCATCGTCACAACTTTATCGGTCAATATCGCATGACAGAATTTTTTTTATTCATGGGTACTACACTTACACCAAGTATGTACTGTAAATACTTACACCTATTATTTTGAAACATCATACAAAAAATAAAGGCTGAAGAATTCACTTCGATCTGGCTTCTGTTCATAGTCCTATATGAACAAGCGAAGACGCGACGCTGCAAAAGAGCAACAACATGCGCTTCTTATATAAACATGGTCAGTCATCTTCCGTATTTACTCAAGATTCTGTGAAAGATTCCAAAAATGTTTCTAAACCAGATTCAAAGTAGAGGTTTAAAAAAATTCCCAGCATTTCTAAAAGTTCACTCTGACAACACTTATTATGTGTTGTGTAGCAGAGTGGGGCCTTAAAAACATTCCTCAAAATAATCCATTCACAAAGTACCCCTTTATTTGGCAGCCTTTGTCTCTGTCTCACACCTCCTCAGATAAAGACGATTTATAACTTCTCACATTCTTCCTACATTCAACTACAGAATGACTATAGTGATTTTATAATCATGAATTTCAAACAATAATCTGGACTGCCAGAGTGATATGAGAAGCAACATATATAATCCTAACTAACAGCCACAGGCATCATTGGTAATAGCAACTTTCAGCTTAGATAATAGTCAAACCCACATCCACGTGAAGACCCGCAGGATCAACCTTCCCCTCGGATACATCGTTCAAATACTATATAATTGTAACCTTTACTGAAGAGAATGAATCAGGGTGCTGTATCAAGCAGACATTCTCTTATCTTCACTGAAATATAAATTCTTCCGTAAGTTTATCTTCAACTTCCAGCTTCCCCCACACTGTTACTGACACTGTAGATACAAACAATAGGGAGATTTTTAAGGCTTTTTTTTTACACTGAGACAAATCTGAAGTGATCATTAGTAACAACGATGATAATATAAACTTTGAAACTTCTTGCTGTGTAGATCAAGGAAATGTGTGTCTCATTTAAGTGGTACTATGGGTGAGGGACTACAGACCTCAATTCTACTGAGACACATGACACACAAGATTAAAGACTGCACTTGTCTCACTTAGAGTGGAATTGTTGGAGGCAGAGATCACAGGACCACTCGCCCTCGGGTGGCTCTTGAAGCGGAGGACGTAAGCAGTAGAGGTGGTAGCCTCGGTCACAGTCATCACAAAACAGCAGCTGGTCCTGCAGACATTCAAGAATATGGTAATTCATTTACCTCCTATATTTGCCAGCTGTGCAAAAAACATTGTGCTGCAAGTTAACATTCTAATATCTACAAAATAAATTGTGTACTGCAGTTTACATCACACTTCATGAGGTAGATGCCTATGAGGACACAAGACACCAATTAATCTGGGTAGTGAAACAGAGGGACTGATTCTGATACCCTATTTGCTAAGTTAGACTGGATAAGGCAACCATGTGTAGTCAGCTGGTCTACAGAGTGATAATCAGGTTCCCATGGACACAAAACTTCTGACTTAAACTCCCAACAAATAATATGACAATTAGAATGTCCTTCATCCTTAACCTGGATTCCACTGAAGAGGACATTTAGCTTGAAGGTTTCTTGTAAAGGGAAAAGTCTTGAGTAATTGTCGCTATGTACCGGTAAGCACAGTATGTATGTTGCTCCTCTGTCATTGTTATAACTTGGTGACAGTGACTTAACCTAATCTAACCTAACCTCACTTAAGAGTTCAAAGGACTAAAGACTATGTATACACCCAAGTCTTTTGGTGATTTTCCAGTACCTCTAGGCCATGACAACCATCACTCATACTAAAAGATTAAGAGGTCATGATTTGCCCTAAGACATGGTAATACAACAAGGAATAATGCTGCACAGTTTACTTTATTCAATAACGTCATAAATTAGCTTTGTAGTAACACTCTCGATGCACCAGTCGCCAAACTCACTGAGGAAGGTTGTGTATGACTGAGCCAATATCATGTATGGAAAGACCTATCAATGATATACCAGTTATTAGAAGTAACCCTCCATATGATTGTGATCCAATCTGTTGTTTTCAGTCAGTGTTCCCTGGTGGGTCGTGGGTCAGCCTGGGGTCTATTAAGATGTTTACTGGTGAAGTTTGTTGTGGCATTATGGGATACTTTTACATTTCCGATTGATCAGGCAGTGTTAGTTTTATCTCTGTTAGCTGGAATCCCTCAAACCCGGAACTCTTCAATAGTCAGAATTGAAATTTTCTCAGAAAATCGTTCCCAAAGCTGGATTTTTCCGTAAAATTCCGGCTTTGGAAATGATTTTCCGAGGGGCACATCTTCTGAAAAATTCTGAGAAAATTTTCCCAGTACCCGGAAAATTCTGGGAATGGCTATTTTTCCGGGTTTGAGAAACAAAAATTGGGTGCATTTTGTGGAATTTCCGATAAAAATTTTCCGGTACCTAGAAAATTCCGGGGATGGTGGGGATATTTTTCCAGGTTCGTGAGATGATGTAATGCACAATTTCTGGAACTTCTGAGAAAATTTTTCAGTTACCCGGGAAATTCTGGGGATGAGATATTTTTTTTCCGGCTTTGAGACAGCAGTCTCGTTACCTGGAAATCTCTCATTCCTGGAAGTGTTCTGCACCAATTGTTCTGGCTAACGGAGATATCACTAGTGTTATTTGTGTATAAATTCCTGTATCTTGCATGATTTCTCCCTTCATAAACATAACCTACACAAGCAACATGAAGTTATGACTATTTTTTGCCATTACTGTCACCTCACACCTTCCTGTTAAGTCCTCAGAACAAGTGTGAAAGTAGGTTAGGTAGGTAGGTTAGGTTAGGTAGGGTCTTCCAAGGTATGTGTTTACAGTATGGATCTTGCAGGTAACTTAGTGATGACTTAAACCATAAACATCACTACAGTAGCCACATTAATTAATTTGTATTTCTAAGTTTACTATACTTCAAATGAATACTGTATTCAGCTAAAGATATTCATGAAAAGAGCTTAATTTATGTAAACTGTAAACATCAATTACTGTACTACAACTCTCCCACCGTCATCTCACGTTACACAGTGGGGAATTAACGGTAGCGTAACATTCTCGCTACAACACTTACATCATTCTCCGAGGTGCCACATAGCGTACAACATTTACACTCAATGCACTGCCATCGGTACTGCCTCACCGAGATCATCATATGGGCCGTAAACTGCAGACAAGTGGGATGACCTGCAGCAGAAACTCCTCATGTAGAGTAATACCAAATTATATCCACGTCAACATATAAATAATCACAGTACAGTCATCTAATTAAGCTTTGATATGCACCTGACGTGTCTCCTAAGTAGGGATAATATATATTTTAGCTATAACTTAAAGGAGATTAGTATTGTTCAACGTAACCTAACCAAACTTAACCTAGATTAAGTTAGGTTAGATTAGGTTCGGTTAAGTTAGTTCTGATACTGCTCCTGTATAGTTTTGTAAGTGTAATTAGCAATATAATTGTCTCTAAACAGAATACAGTTTGAACTGAAAAAACAAACAAACAATAAACCTTTCTATTATCCCTATTTAGTATAAGACACAGACAAATACATATACACACACACATACACATACATACATCATACACACACACACACACACACACACACACACACGTATAAAATTCAACATGCATTCTAAGCTCAAAATTAACTCTATATATATACTCTATACTGCATCTCAAACTGGAGTCTCTCTATAATTCCTCTAAATTCTTCTATAATCAGTTATTACAGACTAGTATAATATCTTACAACAAGGACAATGGTATTTAACACTGTATCAATAAAAAAAAGGTACAAATAACACACACACTAAAAACAGTTTCAAATCGTTGGCCTAACTTAAGGTATATAATGATCATTTTCCATTAGACAGTCTCCGCTATCGTCAACGCGATTTACACAGCGTTCAAGACATTGATATCAGAAGTCAAATCAGGATTCTCAATATCCAGGATTTATTATTATCAAAGAAAAAAAGGAAAAGAAAATGATAAAGTAATTATCCAGGGACTGTACAGTAATTAATTGTCTGTATAATCATTTATCCATGCAGAGTTCTGTACTGTATATGCAAAAAGTTTATCGACAAGAGTCTACTGAACAAAGAAAAAATGATCCAGGACCTGTTAAACCAAAAGAACAGCAATAATATCCAAGATCAACTGAACCAAACCTAATTATCTAAGGCGCATCTTACTATCCAGGACCTGTGTTTTAACGACAAGACGCCAACCATTGAGAACCTGTTTAACTCGACACTCTCTTAATAATCCGTGACTGGGGGCCCCTAACTAGCATAATGAATGTCTAGGTTCCATCTCAGCATGCAGTGAACAGTGATAGATATGATAATAAAAAATAAATAAAAATCATTAAAGAATGGTTTAACAGCAGGAGAGGATACACAGGTGAATCACTAATTCCGATCAGCGAGTCGTCATCTGCTGAACATATAATCAATTGGATTATTTTTGTAGTTATGGGTGAAAAAAAAAGATATACACAAATATCTTCATTAATGATTCTGGGCATCAATATTGGGACTTATTATGCAGAAAACAAAGAAGCCTAAGTCCAATTATATATGATAATGAATTTATGAACCAAATAATAATAATAATAAAAAAACAGACAAAGAAGAAGTTTTTAGTTGCAAAGGAAATTCTTAATGACAACTTACGTTTGATTTGTATGGTGGGAGTGTGGAGAGTCAAAGGATTGAACAATGAAGAAAAAGAATTAGATTGTTGTGGGACACTGATAAAATTGATATGGAGAAGATTCTTTTTTTTAATGCCACCCTATATAAAATAAGACATCACTTAATATCTAAATTTACTGAACCAAAAAACTAAAGAACGAAGACGCATATTGTTGACTTTCATTACGTACGTACATATGGTAACCAAAGACATGAGGAGGCAGGTGAGTTTAGAGAAGACGATACTGTATTGACCTATTTTTTTTTTTTTGGACAACAGTAAATGATTTGGGAATAATGACATCATATAAAATGACATCGATGACTATTGTATTATTGTAGTTATGACAAGAATAGAGATGCCGGATAATATGGTTTATTGTGTTGGGTTAGGTGAGGTCAAAGGTCACTTCTCTACTGATTCTTGACAAACTAATAAATAAATGTAATAATCATATGATCTGTTTATATAATGTATTATTTATAAGCATCAACTTTCTCCTGAACACTCCTTCCACACACAACCACACAGTGAAGGCAGTCTGTACCTGGAGGAAGTGAGGAAGGAAGGGTCACTGACTAGATCATAATTCACAGATCAACCCTGGAAGAGCTTCAAAAGGCCTAGTCAAAAAGCTCAAGAACCCTCTAGGAAAGTCTCCCTCCTATTACAAAGAGTCACCTAGGGAGGGCATTAAGCCAAAAAATAAAAAAAAATAACCAATCTATCATATTTGTAAAGACATAAAATATCCAATATTTCTTGGTAGACAGGACTAATATACAGTAGTTGTGTTAGGCCATGGTGGTGGTGGTGGTGGTCATAACTGTAAAAGAAGCAGTGATAAGAATCATTCCTGTGTGGGGTCATAAAAGAAGTGCATTGTGACCTCTTGTGTATGAAGTGTCGAGGAACTGAACAAAGGAAAAATGGAAACTGAGTGAAGTTATGACCTGGATGGGTGGAAGATTCAAGATGGTGAAGCGATGAGAACTTAAGCGGGGATGGTTGAAACAGAGGCAATGATTATCACAGATCCAGGAGTAACTTGAGGGATTGATCCTGAAATCTCATTCTATGATCAAGAGGAACTTATGCCAGATCTTAAAACAAAGCAGCTATCTAATATAGTCCATGACAATTGCCTTTCCAATCATATCTAGATCCAGCACTTTAAAGGATAAGTCTCTCTAAAAGATATGGATGTCACAGTTTAAAGCAGAAAAGTAATTCCAGCCTCGATAATTGCCACCCCCCAAAAATAATCCTACCTTATTAAACATGTGAAGCTGTGAAACTAAAGTACTATAAACCCCAAGAAACAATTATGTAACTCCCATTAATGCATCACTAAACTGAAGATGACTCTGATCTCTAAACACAGTCTAGGTTCTGATTGACTATATAAAGAAATAATAATAACATAGGCCTCATAGATGTGGAGGAAACAGAGGCACCACACTGGACCTCCCTAGACTGCAGCACTACAATGAAGGGAATTTAATTAAAGACACAACTAAAAATCTGAGGAAAGGACACAGCCAACTCTGTAGCACCAGACTATACAGAGAAAACCAAGTGTTTGTTATGTTAAAATGCAAGCAATGGTAACAAAGGAAAAACCTTGATAGTTATCCAAGTTGCCTTCCTGGGTACAGAACCTTTAAGCTGTTCATCTCTGTGTTGTTCTTACCAAAGGGTCACTGTGTGTGGATGAGTACCTAGCTTAAGGGAGCAAAGGGACTTGTGTGCCACGTTGCCCCCACTGCTACAACCTAGTCTACAGTTATTGGTCATCAAGGTTTCCCTGGGAGAAATTTCACCCCACACGACAAGAGCGACAACATTACACATGAACCCCTACAAGAAAGTACCAGGCACAGAGCCAAAAAATTCTCCAGGTGGGAGTCATTAACTTCACTCACTCTTTTCTTATCAATCTTATTACAGCCACACATTCACATGCCCCAGTCTCTTGTTCTTAATTCTCTTTTACAACAAAACAACAGATGGGGGTCACCTTCCTCATGCTCCCAAGGGTAACTATACCAGAGGTGAATGGTGTGGGGTCACTACAGCCTGAGACCTATAGTACAGTATGGTATATGCCAACAAAACACTTACAAAATTATGGATAAAATGTCTAAAACTAAAAAAAAGAAGTAAATTATAGCAAGAATGTTAAGAATTATTATTTTTCTTGGGGGGAGGGAGGGAGGAGGGTAGAATCTTGTATAAACTTTTTACAATACACAAGCCCATTAAATACTGTATCATATTCTTATTTTTTTGGGGGGTTTTGAATGTGAATAAATTTATTACTGAGAGTTATTGTTTGATTTCATGCCTTGATAATGTCTTTGGTTCATATCATTTGTTAAGCACTAATGTAATGACTAATCTATTGCTCAGAGACTCGATGAATACTTATCAACAGGACGTATCTCACCAGATCTACCACAGTCTGAGCACGAGACAAGCTCCTCCGACTCTCCGGTTTTCTTGTTCATTGTGGCGTCGCCCAGACAGAAATCACAGTATGGGCTTGGCTGAGCGCGGTTTTTCTCTCCCATCACCTTTGGAGGTTTAGAAAGTTGCTGTACACGAGAGAGGAAGAAAAAAGTTATTTAATACAAGTCGGACACTTGTAGTTATGACTGCAAATAAACTATAGTACTATATACAGTACAGAGATCACATGAAGATTAGTAACCCCAGCTTATTTCACCTGATGATTAAAACACCCTAATGCTAACTGAACATAATCTATGCTAAAATAACCTACACCAACATAATCTCACTTAACCTAAACTAACCCAAGTTAAACTAAAATAGCATAACCTACCCTAACCTAAAATTGGCATAACCTAACCTAAACTAAGATGACATAATCTAACCTAAACCTAAACTTAACCTAACCTAACCCCACTTCAACTCAGAGATAGGTGGTGGTGTTCTTTTTTTTTAATCATTAAATTAAATAAGCCAGGATTCCAAATCTTCACGAGACTCTTAAACATCATACAATTACGTACACATTTTACATTACAAAGATTAGCCAGAGTATCAACCTATCTTACCTAACTCTGTAGGAATGTATCTCTCAGGTGATGAAACACGGCTGATAATATTAAGCGAGTTATATATATATTCAATGAGTTATATAAATATTCAATGAGTTATATACAATGTTTTGGTGTATTTTAAGTTTATGTATAACTCTTAGTACATTATCCTTCTACCCTGTATATACTTCTTCCACCGACATGAAATTATAACTTTGGGTGAAATTTACACTGTACTTATTGGTAAAATAGACCTTAACCCCTTGAATATGATGATTTAACTCCTTGAGTACATTGATTTAATTCCGTGAATATGATGATTTAATTCCTGGAGTAAGATGATTTACCCCCTTGAGTATGATGACTTAACCCCTAGAGTATGATGACTTAACCCCTATTGTATGATGACTTAACCCCTATTGTATGACTTAACCCCTTGAGTATGATGACTTAACCCTTAGAGTACGATGACTCAAGTTTTCAAGGGAATTGGTCATCCTATCAAAAAGGTCAATTTGAATCCTAATTATATATGGCTGGACCTAATTCAGAAAGAAGTTCTAAATTAGGCAACTTTTCAATAAGACCTTCACACACACACATACAAAATAGTTATAGGAGCCTGACTGCCTTAACTACAAGACAGTATTTTAAATATATGTCCTTGATCCCCTCAGTCTTCAGAGGGGTAAAGTATTTTCTGACAGTTTTTTTGACATCTCTAAAGTGTTACAGCTGTACTGGATTTAACCATACAGTACATTAATTTGATTATGTATGGATGTTTGGTTCCATGACTGTATTGTGGATTTGTTTGTGTATTTGGCATTTGTACCGCCACATAATTCATGTTGAGGTAATTGTGACTGGTTTATTTTTCTAGTGTAGTATATCAAGGGTCCTGTTGGGATTTCTCACCTGACATGTCTCCAGGGACCACAGCTTGTAATTCATACCATCCATTTTATTTTCTATCTCCTCCTGCCCTTCTTTACCCCTACTACTACATCCACTTATCCTTTCTCTCCTATTTTTCATTCAATATATATTTTTTTAGTATTACCGTAAATAATATTCAGACGACATAAACACACAACTTTCACCGATACATGAGATGACACAAAATATACCACTGCACCGCGAGCTTATGATCTGAGGTACGGGTGAGGTCAGTATGTCTCGTCCTCTTTACCAGCAGATATTAAATGGTCTTTCACACTATCAACCATCAACACCACTCATTCTACCAATACCATTCAGACCAAACTATCAACTTTACCATCTACACCACTATCTACGCCACCCACTCACCATCTTCATCTATATCACCCACTACTGGCTAAGGGTCACACTCCATGATCAGTTTCTTTAACTTTTTACCCTCATACAGAATGTTATGACAAACCATTATAAAAACACCTGCTACAACCTGTGTTTTATATGAGCTCTTCCAAGACCTAACTTTGTGATAAATAAGAGAACCAAAACAGTAACAAACATCTTTATTTTCTTCAAACTTTTTAAAGGTATCACATCTTCACCATCAGTCCTGTGAGAGACGAGAACAATTGATACTCGGCTCAGCGGCAAGAACACATTATCGACTGAATACAAATTATTATCAAACGACTGCAGACACGAGTGCAAAGGTAACAGATGAGTGTGGACAGTATTTACACGTGGAGAACCGATATCCCGGTGATGCTTATTCTAGTAGAGCGTGAAGATAGACGACTCTAATAATACAGAGAGAGACTTGGTGCCCTATAAGATCATCCCAGGGTTAATACTGTGTACCCCAATGACAAAATGTTCGACCACCAACCATCACACCGGAGTGAGAGCCTATGTAACACCGTCCTTAAGAAAGTAGATGCTTTCCTTTTGTCTAGGCCAACTTGTAATGCAAATTCAATAAGGGTATAACATAACATGAAAATTCACAAAGGACGGTTATAACAACAACATTATATTGTGACTCAGTGAGAACAGTTATATACTACATAGCTGAGTGTAGCCATAATTCCCTGCTAGGAGAGTGCATTAATTAGTTAACACCTTCACTACAGGGATGCTACTTTTTTATATTCTATTTGGTTAATGCCAGATAATTTTGTTCAGCAGAGAGGGGATCCCACACACAAGTGATCAATGGTCCTTATAGCAATCCCCAGTGGCAAGTAAATAATATGTGTGTGGAGGGAAGGTGAGAGAGTTGGGTCTTTCAATGATTCACTCTGAAAAAAAAAACTCAAATTCCACAAAGAAACACAATACTGTACCTAACATGAAACTCTCCGGATATCTCACAAAACTAAACAGACCAGGATGGCCTCGCAAAAGCCTTGGGTCAAATAAGCTGAACTATACACTATGAAAAGCTGGTCTTGGTGCAGGGTGGTGCTGGCCCCAGAACTGACTCACCAACTGATCAACAAGCTTTAAAACCTTAAATACCTAGAATTATATCTGTTGCAAACACCCAAACCTTATCCACTCAAACTGAATTCTCTCAAGATTTTTAGTAGGTGGAGCTCTCATCTCGGCATAGTGGGTGCTGACGACGAGGTAGCCCAGGCGATAGTGAAACTTTCAGCCTTTGAGTAACTATTGTACTGTACTAAGTCCCCCTTTTGTTTCACAGAAGGTACAGGTAGAGGAGAGGGGCTAAACAGTATATCACAATAAAACAACAGATTAACCCTTGGATCACATCACAACGAACCAGACCCCAAATGATATGAGATTCCCTAATAAGTCTCGCTGTATCACTAGAGCCATCTATCTGGCCATGAGGGAGAGACTAAGAAATGTATAATATATTCATTAAAAAGATATAAATGAAAATAAACCTCTAATATATATATATATATACTGTATATATAATGTATAAATAAATTACAAAATGGGGGACTTTTAAAAACATTTCATAAAGTGAGATATTCCAGTAAGCAATGTTAATACAAATAGATAACTTAAAAATGAGACCAGAGGCAAACATAAGATAATTCATCGTTTAAGCTAAGAAACAAGACGACTAAAGTGCATCATTATTCAAACATAAAAACTGCTAAAAGTGGGATAATTTAATAAAAGGACATAACCTCACTAGCAAGATTAACTTAAAATAAGAAAACATGACCTAATTTGAATAGCTATAAAACATGAAAAAATAAATAAAATCTATTGTTTCTACATTACAAAAAAGATGTTGAAACGACCGAGTTGACTGTTATTGTGTGTGTAGAGCTGTACTGCGGCCGTGGCGGTGCTAAGACTCAGTTTCATCCCCCTCAATCTATAGTGACTCAGAGACGACAAGGTCTAGCCTGTTGGTGAAAGAGGTTAGAGCCTTGAAGTCCCTGAGCGAGAACAAATTGTCTACCCACCAACTAGTAATCAAGGACAGGGGTAATTGTCTCACTAGTAATCAAGGACAGGGGGGTAACTGTCTATCTTGTAAGAGGCACACAAGCTGACTCCACACCATTACTTACATACCCTTCTCATGTCTTAAGCAGTGTGAGGACAGCAACTTACTACTGATAACAAGACCTGAAAAAAGGTGAGGGGGGCGGGGGAAACCTGGGTTGTATTTAATGATTGAAACAGAGGATAATAACATAGCTTTGAGCACAGACACAACACTCTCCTCTCAAGATTCTGAAGGTGGACGTACTCAACCTATACATTCAAGATGGAGGACAAAATGAGCCATGTTCTTAAGTGAGAAACAGGGAAAATATTATGGGAGACAGTTTACATGATCAATTACAAGCATCAGGATCTGCACCAGTTCTACTGTATGTGGCTGACCTAAAATACCTTAAAATGGTAAACCTATTCATACAATCATATCATATCATATTATATATATCGGGATAATGATGACCGTGGCACCGACTGTGGTACTGTACCTGGGTCATCGGTCCATCACAAGAGGAGGGCGACGAGGACACAGTGATGATGCCACACCAGAAAATGTTGGTGATTATGATGATGTTTAGTTTCGTTTCATTACATTTCGAAGTTTATTTTGTTCTCGTAAGAACGTATCTCCTTACATACAGTGGTGCAGTAGTCAATGGAAAAATCTGCTTCGGTTTATGGATTTTCAATTTACTAAAGGTTTGTCCACCGTCAACAAATGTTCTCATCTTACTGTTGAGTGTACAAGTGCTACCTAGTGGGACTCACTCCTTCACTCAAGCTTGAGATCCAACCTGAGACTTTCCTTACGAGACAAATGTTCTAAAGCAGTTACAGAGGTATGGTATAATGCTTAGCGATGCTTTTATTTACTGAATATTGCAACATGCATTTTATCCATATCACGGTCTTCTTACTCTCAGTGTCAAACTTAGTGAGACGTCAATAACTCAACTCTTACCTGCTGGTCCAGGTCAGGAACAGCAAGGCTGGCAGGGCTGGCTTCTCTCAATGTTTCTGAAGTTGAAGTAGGAGTCCCACTGGTAGGCATCATGGTAGACGGTGACCCGACATTAGCGAGACCAGACCAGCCTGAATTGCTTCCCTTGGTCCCACGACTGGTGCAAGAGCCACCTCCATTTCCTGCTAGCGCAGGTGTCACAGCCCCGGTTCCCCCACCCCCCCCTCCGCCACTAGACCTTCTACTACTGTTACTAGTGCTGCTGCTGCCACTTCGTCCTGGAACACAACATTACATTAATTAATTTTCACCGTCAAATAAAGAAGCTTTGTACTCTGCCATGAACTCTTTTAACTTGTGACTAAAGAAGTTACCTAAATTCACAAATTCAATAATTAGCATAGATGTTGCTAATCAATTAAAAGAAACATGTTAAGAATAATGACAGCTACTGTACAGTATTGCCAATTAATATACTACAACGTACTGTACTGTACTGTACACACAAGTGTACATGGCCTATAAGTTTGGTGACAATGTCTCAGTTAAATATAGATCATTAACATTAGATTAAAAAGTTTACTTTAGAGAACGTGAACTTGGGGAGGTGTAAACTTGGTAAGCAGTGAGAGCAGCAGGCCAACAGTTACCACAGGAGGACTATGAGCTGGACAACCACCAACTATAACTTGTGCAGTCTAAAATCCATGCAGGCAATCTACAGGTGTTTTACTAGTTAACTTTACCAACTGCTGCAAGTACTGTAAGTGAAGATCAATACAGAAAAAATATTCTGTAATGGAAAAAATAATAGAGTTTGTGAGAGGAAAGTGTTTAAGAGGTTGTTAGGTTGTAACGGTGGCACATTGCATTCTACATTTATATAGTATACTGTAGTACATATAACAATTTAAAGATGGACCTGATTTAGCAGGTTATAACATTTACAAATACCATAATAATGTTATGTGATGAACTACAAGACCAAACATTCATAAGTCATGGTACTTACTAGATAAAAACTGGTTTGTTATATAAAAAACATTTGAGACAACAAGTTGTGACATATAAATGAAGGATAAATTACTTAAATCCCATTTTATAGCCCAGCCAGGACAACAAAGGCAACTCGTGTACACTGCCTATCAAGTCTTGTGGTCTACAATCCAGGTATATCCTCGACGTTGATGGTTACGGTAACTTTTTAATCACACCTTAACTCTCTTCTCACAACCCCCATACCTCAGATGGGGGGGGGAGGGGTGGATCTGGGGGAGAGATAAACAAGACTACGGTCGCTACAGCTCCCACACATCACTACTCTCCCTCGTCCAGCCTCAGTCTTCTTGAATTTTCAGTAACAAGTTTCAGTCCTTTCGAATTTCCACAATAAAGCTCCTTGTCCCAATGTGACTAAGAAGTGGGATATCTTAGACCAATCCTTCCTTTAGCACCTCATGTTGGTTCAAGGAGACTTGTGCACATAAATCTAGCTTAATACTGTGCAAGGCAGCAGGAGGCCACATATAACTGCAGACAATTTAATACACAGCACCACACACTATTCCTACACAAACACCTACCTAGTGGTGCCTCACATAGATACTCTTGAGAAACAGTCTTCCCAGTCACTCTCTTCACAAGACCCAAACAACTCTTATAAGAATAGGAATCTTTTCACCTGTAACTTTCAGACAGAGTAAACCAAGAATAGGTCATAAATTCTGTGCCAAAGCCTTAACACAATCACTGTCTACCCCCAAAAAATGATTTTGCAGCAGACTCTGTTCCTTAAGACATAATGCAGGCAGCTCTCACTTAATGCAGGCAGCTGTGCTCCCAGAAATATCAAATTGAGAGTATTTATTACACGTGTTTAGCAAGGATGTAATTGCCTCACCTCTACTGATCCTCTCTACCCCTAACACTGGTCACAAGAGCTTCACAGTCTACACATCCACCCCAGCCAGTCATATACAGTTGTTGCTAATTTTTCATACACAAAGCAAGACAGCAATAGAAATAAGATCTTTGCATAATAGGTGAAATTACATTAAGTTGCATCAAGAGAGGGCCACCTTTATAACCTAAACCACTATCACCAGTCTGATGAAACTTAAGATAAAACAAGTGGACCACAGAACAGACATCATGGACAGGGTACCTAATGTGGCTGTTCTGAATGTGAAGAACCTTACCACACTCTAGAGCTGTGTATTTGATCCCTGAAACTCATTTGAAGTATGGAAGAGTGATTTTAAATCCTTTTTTTTCTGACAAGTCCAAAGTTTGTTGGTTTCTACAGTAAGGGACAACTTTTAGGGGTCCTTCATCCCCTAGACATGACCCTCCCACACCAGCCAGGGTTAATCTGTTAATGTACTGTACTCATCACCATTCCCTTCCCCCTATGCCACAAAACCTTAAATAATGTGGATAAACACAGTGGATACTCTCCAGGAATCCAATGCTGTTTGTTCATTTGAGGGATAACAAGCATTGCATTGACTGGGATAATGCCTCCTTAATATTACCTTGTAATTCAATTGATAGTAGGAACATCATAGAACCTAGTCTCATTAAACATACCGAAGTATTCAACATGAATTTCAGTAATGGCATGTACAAACTGGACAATTTTGTAATTAAGAAGATTTGTAACCAGGTGAGAAGGTTGGGTCACCTTATATATACATATATATATATACCAGGGGGTATATATTTACAGTATATATACAGGTTGTACCTCTCTAGTCCGGCATTCTGTGGTCCGGAAACTCCCGTGGTCCGGAACGATTTTAGTTTGTCCAATAGGTAGATAAGCAGTTTTTTTTTTTTTTTTTTTTACTTATCTGAATTATTATTATTATTACAGGAGTAATAAATTTTTGCCCCTCAGGCCCCAATGTGGGTCAGTGACCTCTGACCCAGTACTCAGTTGACCTCTGACCCAGCTTGGAGAAGGTCGTGCCCGATCGTGCTCCCGTTAGAGACCAAGGAAAGTGGCCGCTTTGGATCGTTGTGTCGTGGGGGAAGAGGAGGGGAGTGTGGGGAAAGACGACCTCCTTGCCACGCTGTTAAGGCAGCTGGGGCAGTTGAGGAGTGAGGTTGACACTCTAAAGGGAGAAAATGAAGCCCTCAGGACGGAACTCCTTCAGGTAGGTGTCCTGCCTAGCAGGACACCTGCGAAGGAGGAGCAGGCGTGGAGAGTGGTTGTCTCCAAGGGGACTAGGGTCAGGCTCAGGAAAGCTGACCAGGGTGTGGAGTGTAGTAACCCTTACCAGGTGCTGCAGGAAGCTGGAGAGGAAGAGAAGAGGCAGGACGGTATGGATCAAGGAGAGGAAAGGGCAGTTGTACAAACCCTGCCCACAGGTAAGGTCGTGGTAGTTGGTGACAGCCAGGTGAGGTTTATGGATAGGGCTTTTTGTGCGAGAGATAGGAAACGTAGGACTAGGGTGTGTTTTCCTGGGGCTGGGATAGGGCATGTAGCCGAGAGGTTAGACAGGGTTTTGTCAGGGGAGGGTACCAATCCAGTAGTGTGTCTTAGTGTGGGAGGAAACGACATAGGTAAGGTTAGGAGTGAGGAACTTTTCAAGAGGTATAGGGAGGCGCTGGGGAAGATTAGAGATAGGGGAGGGATCCCGATAGTATGTGGTGTCTTGCCTAGAAGAGGGGTTGGTCGTGAATGGCTGTCCAGGGCAATTGCTATAAATTGCCGACTGGAAAAACATTGTGCAAACAATGGTTGGGCATTCATTGATAACTGGCAACGATTCTATGGCAACGACTACCTGTACTGTCGCGACGGAGTACACTTGTCTCGTGAGGGGGTAAAGACGTTGTCTGCATCCCTGGAGCGTGAAATTGTCACTCCGAAGGGGGGGTTTCGCCAGTAGAGAGGGGTCGGGGAAAGTGGGAGTCAAAAAACAAGCAGGTCCTGGGAAGTAAAATTAGTTGCTCAGGACAAGGGGTAAAACAGGACCAGGGAAGAGTAGGTTTAAATGTATACTATACAAACAGTAGGGGCAGTTCAAAAGATATCGAAGTCTTTAAACTGCTAAGAGAACATATGGGCACGGGGGTGGAGGAGACTGCAGTGGGAGCGGGTAAACAAAGTGAAAGACTTCAGGGAAATAGTGTTAGGAATGATGACAAAACTAAATTAGACAGGGAGTTTAAAACTAAACGCGGTAAGGGGAGGACTCAGAACACAACTAACAGTGACCTATGCACCGATTGATCAATGATTCCCAGCATGGCTTCACAAGCGGATGTTCTTGCCTAACTAATCTATTAACATTCTTTTCATCAGTTTTCAAATCGGTGGACGAGGGGCACAATTATGATGTGGTATATCTCGACTTTAGCAAAGCCTTCGACAGAGTTCCCCACGAAAGACTAATTAGAAAGGTAGAAGCTCATGGCATCAAAGGTGACATCCTTAAATGGATTAGGGCGTGGTTACAGGACAGGAAACAGCGAGTGAGCATTAACGGCACTAAGTCCCATTGGAGCAACGTCACAAGTGGAGTTCCCCAAGGCTCAGTACTTGGACCATTATTATTTATTATATACATAAACGACACAGATATCGGCATTGACAGCAACATAAGTAAATTTGCTGATGACACTAAAATAGGACGTGTTATCAAATCTGACGAGGACTCGCAAAACTACAGGAAGATCTAAACAAATTTTTCGAATGGTCTGAAAAATGGCAGATGAAATTCAACGTCGACAAATGTAAAGTACTCAGTATAGGAGATGTAAACAGGGAAACCAGATACCAGATGAACAACGATGCCATAGAGAAATCCGACTGCGAGAGAGATTTAGGAGTAATGATAAGTAGGAACCTTAAGCCAAGTAAACAATGTGTTTTTGCTCGTAACAAGGCTAATAAAGTACTTGGGTTCATACAAAGGAGTGTTAGTTACAAGACTAGCGAGGTCATCCTAAAACTGTATCTTGCTCTTGTGAGACCACACCTGGATTACGCAGTTCAGTTCTGGTCACCGTATTACAGAATGGATATAGAATCCTTGGAAAGAATTCAGAGGAGAATGACAAGACTAATCCCGGGCATTAGGAACCTTGAGTATAGAGACAGGTTAAAGCATCTTAATTTGTACTCCCTTGAGAGACGTAGAGCGAGGGGCGACCTGATAGAGGTGTATAAGTGGAAGGCAGGGCTAAACAAAGGGGACATTACAAAGGTACTCAAACTATCCAACCAGGAGCGAACTCGTAACAATGGTTTTAAATTAGACAAATTTAG